TCACAATCTGCGTTATTTGTTACCCTAATTCTAAAATCGATATTTTTTTGCCGTTTCAATCGATCATACAAAAAGCAAAGACACTGAGCTTTGCATATAATTACAACGAAAACATTGCACCGGTTACCGTCCTCGTCGAACCCGTCGCTTGCGACGAAGGGCTCGACGAGCGAATTAACCCATAGACACAGCCCACTGAGTTTCTCGCCGGATCTTCTCAGTGGGTCGCGTTTCCGATCCGGTGGTAGATTCTGCGAAGCACTGCTCTTGCTAGGGTCAGTGTTAGCAACTCTCCGGTTGAGCCCCGTGAGCTCATCTACAAACGTTAGGGTGAAGCTGAAATAGCCTCTAGCTAGGCTATCAGCATAGGTAGGGAAAAAAAAAAAAATACATTCTTGATATAGCCGTACAAACATTCGTACAATGCAGACAGGTCACACGTAAAACTAGAGAAGTAAAACCTGTTATTTTTGCACCTTTTCTCTGTGTGGATGTGATGAACTGAAATACGTTTTCACTTCCGACCTTGACACGCATTTCCTGACAATCATACATATGCGTGTCTGTTTGTGTGGGTTCACTCGTTGCAAATTAGGGGAGGGCTACCGTCTATCTCATCAGCTATATTAGCCGAAATACGAATTCAAACTATTAATAACATATATTAGCTTGGAGTGAGTATCGATGTAAAAATTCATTAGTATTCGAGTTCCAGTTACTTTTTCTCCTGAGTTAGCGGTACATAACACAAGACAAGAGCCTACATGAAAACAATACATTTATTCTTTACGCTGAACAAAAACAATTGTTGGTATAGTAAATTAATTAATAAATATAAATTTCGTGAGAACGTAATAAAGTCGTCTCCCGCGTTCCCTCGAAGTATAGGTATGAGAAAAAATTATTAAACTAAAAAGCAATATCATTTTCAATATCATTTCTCTAGGGAGTCGCTATGATATTTAAAACTACTTTTACGTTGTAAATTGTCATTATATTATTTAAGTTTCGAATACTTTAGAATTTTGACTACGAAAAATCTAGTAAAAGTACTTTTAATGAAGCAATATCAGGTAAAAAAATGTATATGGTATTTTTAACACCTCCCTTAGATATCGTGCTAGATCTAATTGCTATAAAGTTGAACATCCCAGCAAAAGTCATTAATTAAACTTAGTGTTGTGAACTTTTTATGATAATTAGAACTTATTGCTTACCAATGTGCTCGTCTAACTAAACAAGCAACAATATGCTAATAGACACGAACGCTAAAGACCAAGAAACTGGTATCGCTTGAAAATTAATTGTGAACTGTTTTCGTTTAAATAGATTTATCTGTTAAATCTTAAACCTTTAAACGAGCAATTCTTGCATATTTATATATATATATATAATCTGAATCTCGGAAACGGCTCTAACGATTTTCATAAAATTTAGTATACAAGGGGATTTCGGGGGCGATAAATCGATCTAGCTACGATTTATTTTCAGAAAATGTTGTTTTATTCGTGTTTTTAATAATCAACTCTTCCCGACATCTATTGGCGAATAATAATACTATTTTTTTATTTGAGGGCAACTAACCGCTTTAAAGACACAACAAGATGGCGCTATCAAAAAAAACTAGCAAAGCTCGGTCATCATCTAGTACACTTTTATCTGTTTTTTATCACTTTTATTTTCCCGAGCGCTTCTTCTGACATGTCCTTCTTCAAACGAGGCTTGTGGAGAGTATTAAGCGGTAGGCAGCGGCTTAGCTCTGCCCCTGGCATTGCTGAAGTCCATGGGCGACGGTAACCACTCACCATCAGGTGGGCCGTATGTTCGTCTGCCTAAGAGGGCAATAAAAAAAAAAATCTGCGGAGTAAATCTATACTGAAAATCTGCGTTGGACGATTATTAGAGCGACTCTAAATTAATTTTCTCTTCTTCACAAATACAAAACCAGAATGTTTCTGTGCAATTTATTTTGTTTTTTTTTCTTTACACAGTTTTTAGTCCGATATCCGAATACCATAAATCATATCTTTATTTTCACTCAAGGGTAACTTCATCTTGCTATTATTTACATAATATGTGAAAACGCGTAGAGAATCGACGGAATTTACTTATCTAAGATATGAAACTTTAAAAAAACATTTTTAATCATATTTGTAACATTTCACCACAAACGATTCTTCGATTTAGTACCAAACCAGTCGTCCCATTATGATACCAACCAATAAGGTCGATCAACTTATGCGAACAAATAATATATTGATAAATCAAGACCACACCTCGATAAATAATTAGTGAGTCAGACGCTAAACAGACAAACTATTTTAAGAATCACAACTTTTATACACGGATGCGATCATTGGGCTTATAACACGATTAATATTAGACATGCCTTAATATCTAAGTTTTTTTAAGCCTTATGACATTAATTCTATTGTCAAACCCTTTATTTTATTTTTTGCTGCCATCACCATCCATGCCATTTACCATCTGCCTGTAGCCTATTTATTCTAAGCCTGTTATGACTTAATGCCAAAAAAAATTAGCATACTTACTAACGTTTAATACACGTTTAAATTTTTACGCAATTTCGTGATAAATTCGGCATAAATACCACAACAGAATACACAGACAAACCGTATCGGTCTCCATTCTAATTTCTATATTATTTTGTCTCTGTCAAAAAAAAAGACACTTAAATTTCTTATCGTTGTGAAAGTTTTAGACTACTTTAGTTTCAACTCCGTTTTTAGCTTCATATAAATAAATTCCTAAAGAAATTCATGCAATCCTCCCGAGGCACCTTACAATTATTATGTACAAAAACAAGATTAGGTACAAGGAAGTACAAAGAATAGGATTCATCATCCTTCGTATTTCTATCGCGTAATGCACTAGTGCGTTCCGATTTGAAAAGCCGGACAGACTTAGACAATTGAGGAAGAGGAAGAAAGAAGCGAAGAGAGAAGAAGGAGGTGAAGAAGCGAAGAAAGAAATCGCCCACACATCAACTTCAAGCCTACTACACACCATCCCGCAGCGCATCACCCCTGCCTCAATAGGCGGGGAGTTACATGTCCGGGCAGAGGGGTTTCCCCGAAGCCCGCTCCGCGCCCCCGCAAGGAGACGCGACGACCCCACGACAATTGAGCCTTCGACCTCATGTCTCAAGGCGGGTGGTGCCATTCACCTTGAGACGCTTATGTACTCCGATAACCCCTTCAAATAGTTTGGTCAGGACCTCATTCACCCATTAAGGCAACAAAGATCAGATAATTGCTTATTCTCTGTCACTTTCTTTTTCTAGCTTCGATAGACAAATTAAGCATACTTTCCAACAATGATGAAGAAAGTATGCTATTCTCGGTTTCATAACAACCTATGGAGAGTGTCGATTTCTACCTCCAGATGGCATCCCAAAGGTCGCGTCACCTCTAAAACCGCTGACGGCGACAGTGGAGCATAAAACCCGTGTGTCATCGTTCATTATCTCTAAGCATATAAGCAAATATATATTTCGCTAATGCCTTCGTTTGACCTTTAAATTATAATGCTATTGTGTTTTAACAATTCAAATATAAATTATTGCCTATAACCACGAAAATGGGTAAACGAAGTTTTGAAACTATTCAGACGCTGTTTTTATGGATTTTTAATAATGCATATTTTATAATATTTAAGCGGCTGGTTAAGAATTCGTGACTAATGCTTAAATCAGTATATTAAATGAGGAAACAATAGCTCAGAGCACATTATTTTGTCAACGGATTAATCAAGGATCGAGTTTTTTTTCTTTATTTCAATAAATCAAATAAAAATTTCGATAAATAATATTTATTCAAGCACATTTTAAAGATAAAGATACAACAGTTTCCTTTAATAATATCATTACAGCTAACCAACACCAAACAGATTATGTCTTGAAGCAACAAACTCAGCTTCTGAAATTAAATATTTAGTTTATCTGGTCACTTGACCAGCACTTGCCGAGCAAAGTGGGTGGCGGTGACCACTTAACACCAGATGGGCTCGTTCGCTCGCCTAAAAAAGTATGTGCTCAATTCTTTTTGCATCGCTTTTTGCCTCCTTAACATTTTTAGAGATCGAGGTCAACGCTAAAACAGCTAGATATTATGTATTATCAGTAATTCAATTTCTATGAAACATTACTAATTTTTACGATTATTTACTCTAATTATTTACTCGGAATGATTTATCCGAATCCTATCGAAGCTGAATAACGGGAAAAAACGGTGCGCGTGCAACTTGGTGCACGTGAATGAAGTGAAACTTCTTTTTCGATGTATAGTACTTTCTTCATCATTTTCATCCTTAAATCAGATTGCTCTTCTAATAGGGAATGCTGTGTATAAGAGATGCGACATCTTCAACTTCATATTATATTATATATATTCTAAATTATAGATAGAAAAATAAATGTATATATTTTGAAAAAATTATACATTAAAATATTGGAGGCTACTCATTGCTAACGCTCGTGCTGGCCTGTAATAGGTATTATACGCGCATGCGTTCGAGTGCCACGCATTCACTCTCGTTTTTTTTTTTTTTTTTTTTTTTTTTTTTTTTTTNTGGTGGCCCGAAGGCCTTTCCAGTTTCACCAGGACAGGTGGGCGAGCAAAGGCTCAGCCAAGAGGGGTGGGATTTGCTAACAACTGCCCGAGCGCCTCCGAAGGAGACCTAACAACTCAAGAGCAATTGTTTCGCGAATGAATCTACTACCGGATCGGAATCGCGACCCGCTGAGAAGATCCGGCGAGAAACTCAGCGGGCTGATGCATGGGTTAGGTTGCACGTCGACCTCTTTGTCGAGTTCGACGAGTACGGTTACCGGGGTCCCTAAGCCTGCCCCTAGTATTAGAGCTGAAGGCATCTAATGCAAAGGTTATTGGATCTGATGGATCCGTAAGGACGTGTCCTTTCTATTCCATGGTAGCGTTAAACGTTTAACGCAAACTTGTCGAAAGTCGCATTAGAAGTTTCACTTCAATAATAATAAATAACAGCTCTATTATTCATGAATATGTTTGCAAAGCAGGGTCTTTTGTTGATACACTAGATCTGCAATAACAGGGCGACGCCAGCTAGGGTCCACTTGGCGGGCTTGTCCTTCGTCTTCAAGTTGAAGGTCCACACGTACGTGGGGCCGCGGGTCCTCGTCTTGTACACCGGACACTCGTACATGTTCCGGAGGTCCTGCTTGTCCTGGGTTATGGCCTGTGGTGACGTTAATATTCAGTGATGACGTCACTTCTCGATGATCAGTAAATCTTACATTAATGTTTTTTTGCTTACATGGGTGGACGAGCTCAGAACCCACCTAGTGTTAAGTGGTTACTGGAGCCCATAGACATCTACAACGTAAATGCGCCACCCACATTGAGATATAAGTTCTAAGATCTGAGTATAGTTACAACGGCTGCCCCACCCTTCAAACCGAAATGCATTACTGCTTCACGGCAGAAATAGGCAGAGTGGTGGTACATACCCACGTGGACTCACAAGAGGTCCTACCACAGTAATTACGCAAATTATATTTTGTTATGATTGAGGGATTACTATGGTCCGTAGGCCTTTCCATTTCACTAGGATAGCTGAGCGAGCAAAGGCTCAGTAGCCAGAAGAGGTGGGATGGAGATGGAAGGGGAAAGGCGACTCCGAAGGAGATCCAATCACTCAAGAGCAGCTGCTTCGCGAATGAATCTACTACCGGATTGGAATCGCAACTCGCTAAGAAGATCCAGCGAGAACATTATTGGTCAAAAACAGTCAAGTGCCTTAATTTTTTTAACGTGTGCTAAAATGACAGCACGAGTCTTTCAAAGACGGATTTTTCTAAAATTTATTTAGCATCGTTTTTAGGACGTTCAGATATTTTTCTAGGTCACATTACCTAATATTTGCTATTTTGATACGCGTATCGAAATGCGTTATCGTCGTTGGCCAAACGGCCAGTTGTAAAACTGTGAGCAAAATTGCAACATTGAAAAAGGTACTTAGACAAAGATTAAATTCAAGCTATGAAGAAGAATTAAATTATAATCACGAATTAGTTAAAATTATTATATTATCAATATAATTTTGAACGAAGCCGTCGTGGCTGAAAGGATAAGACGTCCGATGGATTCGTATCTAGCGATGCAACGGTGTGCGAATCTCTCAGGCGGATACCAATTTTTCTAATGAAATACGTACTTGACAAATGTTCACGATTGACTTCCACGGTGAAGGAATAACATCGTGCTATAAAAATGGAACCCGCAAAAATACAATTTGCATAATTACTGGCGGTAGGACATCTTGTGAGCCCGCACGGGTAGGTACCACCACCCTGCCTATTTCTGCCGTGTCCGTTTCGGTTTGAACTACTTAACATCCGGTGGATCGTGAGCTCGTCCACCCATCTAAACAATAAAAAATAATGCTCTGTAACTCACTCTGACATTAATAACCGGCATCGCTGGGAAGAGCTCCTTGAGCCTCGAATCCATTATGATACCAGCCTGGACATCCCACCTCGCTCCTTCCATTAGGAGTCCATGGACATATGCACCGTCACGGGGCGCAGACCTGGAATCAGCTATCCTGTAGAAGGAGGAGAAGGCTATGCTTACACTCGCATGCGGTGCACATATTAGGCGGTGTACTAACACTCCCATGCTGTACAAATTTCTGTGAGGTTATTTTGTTTTGGTGTAATATTGAAGGGAGAATTTTTAAGCTAACGCCGTCAGAATATTCCAGCAAAGGCATAGATACTAAAAACAAAGCACTCGATACGTACGTACTTACGTTTGACACTTAAAGCGCCCGCCATATTTCTTTTAGATATTAATCGTGTCTAATGAGTATTCATTTTAGACTTAGCATAAATGTCTTAAGTTCTGCCGAAAGACATCTTGACTGTAACGCGGATTGCGCTTGCAATTTAAGGGTAGTGAAAAAAAGGAACAAATATATGGCTGCAAACGATATGTCTTTCAATAGCGTAGTACGTAACAGCAAGCAAACCTGATGCTGGAAGCACTGATGTTGAAAACAGTCGATTTACAAAACTTTACGTTCAGCTCGTAAGCTCAAAAGTAGCTTTACAATTAATCCAAAGCCCATCTAATACACAATATAGTTTCTGCAAAGGCTCAGTTAAAATTAGAATTAAAAGAGGCTGTTATATACAAAGATCAATTGAAGAAATGTATTGAAGCATTCTCAGCAAAACCATTCAATAGTGATACAGGCAATATTGTTTATTATATCCATCGCGTCCATGCAAATTCCTTTGATCAAGCAACTCTTGCGAAGAATTCAGCCTTACACTTTGCTAAAAAACTTGCACATACATAAAATGGATTATTGTGAAGCCGACATTTTTATTAAAATCATATATTTACATATACGTTTAGTTAAAAATTAATTTTGAGCGCCCAACTTTGATTCAACATTAACGTGTTGATCGTAGATTACATAATAAAAACTTTAAAAAGTCTGGTGTAATTTATAAAATTTTACTATTATTCAAATTTAACTGAGATATTACAACTAAGTATCTCGAGGTGAGTGAAAACATTAACGTTATAATTAATATTACTGCAAATATTTACAAACATAAATTGTACCCAAAAGTTTCTTCACATTATTAAAGTAGTAAAATTAACAAATATTTTACTTTAATATATTTATTTCCATTAACGCGATAAGCAATGTTTTAAAAGTTAAATATTAAGTTAAGGCTTTAAAAAGGGATAGAGGCAGATTTTTACAAAACGCATCCGAATGTGACTTCATGACGTATGACGTCATTTGTGGCCAAACGAAACGACAACCAGATCACAGAACGAACAATGTACAGCATATGCACAAAAGTCACAATGCGTTGTGATTTCTGTTAAGGTTAACGTAAAAAATGTTGGAATTACTTGAATTTCAATTCCTGTTTTTAAATTAAAATCATTGGTGTTTCACAAAAATTGTAATCGAACGATCTTTTTAATTAAAAACCATGAAAACTGCTGTTTCAGATTGCTTTGTTAGTATTATCCGATTGCTTACTACTACCTATATTTGGTTTATATATCTAATTCATATATTATGTTAACGTCGGAACAAGACATACGTGAAATCCTCCTTCATTTTCTTAGTAACGTCACATTGCAGACACATCTTGTCCAGGGGCAGTTCGTAGCGACGCGCCGTGCTCTGCATGATGGCCGTCAACAGACTTTGAGGGTTGAAGAATCCGGCCAACCACACTGATGTCGGTAGCTATATACAACAATGCGGACTTTTTTTTTAATGGCTTAGATGGGTGGACGATCTCACAGCCCACCTGATGTTCAATGGTTTCTGGAGCCCATAGACATCTACAAAGTAAATGCGCCACTCACCTTGAGATATAAGTTCTATAAGTCTCAAGTATAGTTACCACGGCTGCCCCACCCTTCAAACCGAAACGCATTACTGCTTCACAGCAGAAATAGGCGGTACCTACCCGTGCGGACTCACAAAAGGTCCTACCACCACTAAAAAGACTTCTAAACTAAACACCATCACACAAAATGTTAGAAGCTTACAGAAGCCATCACAGACATCACAACACTAATCGTGTTATCTTGAGACGTATGATCGATGCATAACGACTATCAGGTACCAAATAAATTCAAAAATTTAAAGGTATTTGAGATACTGACAGAGAGTATGAGTACTAAGGTATTGTCGCACTGATATTTGGTGTGCCACAAAAGTACTGCAGCAGAAATGTCATCCTGGACGTCGTAAGGTGGGCAGACAAACAATAAAGCGGTCCGACTACCTCGGTCAAAATAGCCGGTAAGATGCGAAAGCGAAGAGACCAAAAAGTATGCATTACTACTGGTAGGACCTCATGTGAGTCGCACGGGTAGGTACCACCAACCTGCCTATTTCTGCCGTGAAGCAGTAATGCGTTTCGTTTCGTTTTGAAGGGTGGGGCAGCAGTTGTAACTATACTGAGACCATAAAACTTACATCTCAAGGTGGGTGGCGCATTTACGTTGTAGATGTCTATGGGCTCCAGTAACCACTTAATACCAGGTGGGCTGTGAGCTCGTCCACCCATCTAAGCTATAAAAAAAAGCATATGACCTACAAGTCATGAGACTGACTGATTCTGAGTGTGGGTCTCATAACTTACACTCAGCATTGGGTGGACTCATATTGAAGAAGAGAGAAAATATTTGAGATGGGAGCTTTTAAATTAACGACGAAAATATTGCTTACCACAAAATCAGTTGCCCAAGTTTCAAGTTCCCGAAGCCGTAACAACAAGTCCACAAACCAAGCGGCCAGCCCCAGCAACGAAGGATACGCTCTGTTAGACCAAATAGCTGGAACCTGTTCAATTCCAATAAATAAAGCGAATAAAGTTACATCTATCAGATATACAATCAGCCAATCATACCTGGTCTAAAAACAATGCGTTTTCCAAATCCTCCATGTCGGATGTTATAGTCAGCTCACCCTGTTACCATAAAAGGCTTAGTAAGTTTTAATATTAAAATATCTTTTAAAACATACAAATAATCGATTTAAAAACACTTTACCAGACTTTTGACTCTTTGGGAAAAAGGTCTAGGGGTAGAGGTCCCATACGATGGTCAGACCAAATAGCGGAGGAACTGAGGGTACCTGTTAGCGACGCACTCCACCAAGCTACAAAACGGAATCGATGGAGACAGCTGGTTGACGGGATCGGACGGAGTCACGATCCTCAGCAGTGAGGGACCGATCGAAGAGAGAGAAGAGATTGGCTCTTTAGTGAATGAACTTTTGTAAGATTTACCTTCAGCCCCAAATCCAACTCTCTCAAAGACCTCTTCATTTCGCCAGTCAGGTGGTTCATCCTCTCGCACTCTTGAAACGCTACAATCACGTACGGTGTTCGTTCCTCTACTTTGCCCATTATCTCCACCATATTAAACTCTTCGGGCAACTTCTCCATTATCTCGTCTAGCATCTGCTTTACCTGTATTTGAAGCATAGCATCTATCGCATAATTTAACGGCTCTGTGCTAGAAATTTCTACTTTTTCCAAGAACAAGATAAGATCGAGTAATCCCAAAGCCAAACACCGGAAACTACGAAATTAAAACCAAATGTGAATTGAATGCGGACCCTGGGATGCAATAACTATGTTTACTAATTACCAAACCAATAAGTCAATAAACGTGGTGAATCAAATATGAATTAAAATTGTATTGTATTTTCATTATTATGGGCACAAGCAAACGCAAAATACACTGGCAACAATTAGCCGTCTAACCATTGCTAAAACACCATAAAACAAACCTTGTCTTCTCTGGTCACAGTAGTGGCACCAGAAGCCTGAGCATCTCTTGGTTGCATCTCGAATATCGTTCTAAACAAATTTTCTGAGGTAGTCGTCAGAAAACCTATTTCAGCATTTGGATGTAGCCCGTAAAGGTACGGAGATTCAGCCGGCATAGCGTCTTCTATGTATTGATGGTAGCCGCTGTAATCTGTGTTTGGTGGAGCAGGGAAACCCGGAGCGAGCTGCAGCTCTCCATCAACCTAAGAACGAGAAGCAAACTCCTGAAATTAGCCCAAAATGTTTTTTTTTATTGCATTTGTAGGCAGACGACCATACGGCCCACCTGATGGTGAGTGGTTACCGTCGCCCATGGACTTCAGCAATGCCAGGGGCAGAACCAAGCCGCTGCCTACCGCTGAATACTCTCCACAAGCCTCGTTTGAAGAAGGTAATGTTATGAAACATGATACTAGTGTCGTATCATACCAAAGTAGTGACTTCTCTAAAAAAATATTCAGAAAGCCAATTATATATCTCTGGGTACCAACATTCAACAAATAATTGCCCCAAATATCGCAGATGAAAAACATACCAGATCCGGTTGCATTAATTCTTCCAGGTATGCGTTACAGAGCCTTCTGTCCCAATCATCAGTTATATGACCTCCGTACATTATCTCTCCGAAGAGATATCTCAAATCTTCCCAGGGCACCCTTGAATTTGCTTCCAAATAGTTGTACAGAACGAATACGCTAATAGTGAGATCACCTGTACACGGAAAGCGCATTGTAGTAAAGACAATTTCATTGTGAAATAAAATAATATGAACAAATTTTATTTGGGTTAACGTTCTAATAGTTTACCGCCAAACTTGAAACAAGACCAACTACTTTAAAACAATTCTAGAAATCTAAAATATAACCCTATTAACTGCCGACATCTATCAAGTTCGATTCACTGATTCATCCCAAAGCCAAGGTGAATTGGGTCAAGCTATTATAGCTTTTTTAAGTTTTTGTGCATATTTTGAAAATTTAAACCTCCCCGGGACCATTTAAATCTCAATGTTATAGGTAGAAACTGCTGAAAATTTGTGTTGAAATTAGGAAACGTCCCGATTACCCCCAAACTACGGTATTAAAAAACGATTCCCCACCTTATTCTAATATGTTCAACGAACTAGATTACTGAGATTAATGAGAACTGACCAACGTTAAATGGATAAATTTTATTCCATCCTTGAGGACCGAACTTGCGCCTCTCAGCAACCACAGCGTGGAAGTAGCACAACGAGAATAAAATCGCTTTGAATTCAGCTTCCTTGCCGCACATCTCGAGGGTTTCTTGCTTAAAATTATCCAGAGCTTTGTGAAGATTAGCCTAAAAAATCCTTCCACATTTTTAGTAGCTCCACACTCTCAATTAATGTTCTATGTATTTATAGTCAACGTACAATTGAGACGATTGAATTGAGAAGATGTTAGAGGAAGTCTGAAAGTGGGACCTGTGACAGAGAAGTTGAGAAATTCGCATTTGGGAGGGTATGGACATGTGATGAGACGAAATGCAAATGAGGTTGGTAAGAGAGTGTTAACTATGAATGTGGAAGGATATACAGGAAAAGGTAGACCTAAGAAAAAATGGATGGATTGCGTGAAATTCGATATGTGTAAGAGGGGGGTGAGCAAAGAAATGGTATATGATAGAGGAGTATGGAAGGAGAAAAGATGTTGCGCCGACCCCACATGACTGGGAGAAGGGCTGGAGAATGATGTACAATTGAGACTTTAAATTTATGTCTCGTGATAGCATTTACGTTGTGGTTTCTTGACCGTATGTGGCCGGACACTTTCCCCTATTTAAGCAACGAAAAACAGAGAAAATCTTCAATGACTCAATCAGTAAGTACACGATTTGCGATTTATTTTTGAAGTAGTATTTTAAACCAAATCTACAAGTCATTAAAATTAAATGCCTTAGTGGTAGGCTTGGACAACTTACGATACTGGCAGTACCAAAAGCCCAATTTGATGATGCGAGCTAGAAGCCCTCTCCAAAAAAACAAAATTAACCCCAAAAATAGCTCCTTTAACTACTTTTACATCGTAAATTTAATTAAAAATATTTCATTAGTATTCCAAATTATACATTTCCTGTAAATCACCATCAAATTTTCAATTACTGGCTAAAGAACGCTGAAATAATTATATATGGAACAACGTTTACAAGTAAACTAATGATGTACATTCCTGACGCCGGTATACCTGCATGCCCGTGGGCGGTTCGTTTGTTATCTTGATACTGGACTCCAGGATCCCTTGCGGTATGATATGCGCGGCCGCTGTGGCAGCCGGCTCGGCCGACATGAACAGCCTGTAGTCGTCATTCGAACCCGTCGAGAATGTCTCCATCTTCTTTTCTAGACTCGGGAGCCAGTTCTTTACTAGATGAATGTTCTAGAATAGACAGATCCTATGGTATATCGTGTTAAGTACTACATTAAAGGTTTTACTAACTTTTTTCTTATTATTAAAGAAGCATTTTACTACTTAAGAAAAAATAGATACGAGAACCTCTTTTAGGTTTTAAAAGTAGAGGCATCAGCAATAAATTTATGTATTGGAGGTGACATTCACGTTGTGTGGTACCTATGGGCTCCGATAACCACTTAACATTAAATATTTTGTACGGTGACTATTCTTTTTCGTCTTCTTCCTAACGTATGCCCGGTCTAAGTCTTGGTCCCGGGCCAAGGTCCGCTTTTCTACTTTGCTTGGTCTCCGGCATCCTTCTGGGTGAGGTTATTCTCTTCCATGTTCGCCTTTACCACATTCAACCAACGTTTCTTGAGCCTACCACTGGATTTTGGGCCTGGTACGTAGAAGTTGAGGAATCTATTTCCGACTAAGCCATTATTTATTAAAAATATGTAGATGGTATCAAGATCTCGTTAGAGATGAACAGAAATAATTCTGCCAAAAGCTTTACCTGTAAGACAACCCAATGGCCCTTTTGCAGTGCCTCATCAATAGCCTGTTCCGCGACGATCTCCTGTCCTTGTCCCAAAGACACGTTGTGGAAGTTTCCTGCATCAGCCGTGAACCCCATGACCTTTCCGAGCGCCTCCACGTCCTTCAAGGGATTCACACCCGGGGACAGTATAAAGAATATCGGCGTAGTGGGACTGGTCTCTTCGAAGGACTTACTAAACTCCACCGTCCTGTTTTCAACGTACTTTGAGCCCATTTTCTCTTCGATATACGCCCTAAAATATCCGATATTTAATGTATGATACTGATGCATTCACCACAATCGCGCAAGTAGGACCAGACAGAGACGTTACCATATGTAAATACTTACGCGACAGCATAAGTCATACGGTCGGGTCGTAGTGCCCGTAACATGCACAGTCTCTGGAGTGCTGTTTTATTCTTCCATTCCTGAATTAACAAAAAAATTATCAAAATCAAAGCCGCAAAATTATAATTTCCGTAATTCCTGGTGGTAGGACCTCTTGTGAGTCCGCACGGGTAGGTACCACCACCCTGCCTATTTCTGCCGTGAAGCATTAATGCGTTTCGGTTTGAAGGGTGGGGCAGCCCTTGTAACTATACCTGAGAACTTATATCTCAAGGTAGTTGGCGCATTTACGTTGTAGATGTCTATGGGCTCCAGTAACCACTTATCACCAGGTGGACCGTGAGCTCGTCCACCCAGCTCAGCAATAAATAAATAAATAAAACATCAAAACTACAACATCTTCATTCATTCGAATGATTAAATTATCAAAATCACTATGTTACGCCTAAAAATGAAGTATTGTATTTGTTTTTAAGATTATGCAAGTGGATCGAAATGCGGATAGAGATAAAAAAATTTGAGGTCTTCTATTTTTTCTCTTTTGCAAAATTTTCAAAAATTCTTAATCTTTTGCTAGTTGTCAGAGACCGATCCTCACCAACAAGCCGGTACTCTGATTTGGCTTTTAATAAAAGAATTTAATACGTATCTCTAGCAGCTGAGTAATCTATAAATCTCTCTAAATAACTAGACCCTTCTAAGAGTTTTTCATATTTACCAACTTAATAGAAAGCACACGTCCTGGGTATTCTTAATTATGTATAACAGTATTTCAATTTTAATGTCCTCGACCAGGGGAAACTTTACAGTTGTGCCCATAAAAATTTACCTGTGGAAATTTTTCTCTTTCAGGACATTCTATTTCAACAATCTTCTTCCATCTCTTAGGAGACGTTTCAATATCACGATCCAGATTTCTAAATTCGTCTTTACCAGCCAGAGAACATATCCCTCCCCAGCTTTGATTAGATAGGAAATCTACAGGACTAGTGACATGAGGCTTAATTGGGAAGCGTAGGAAAAAGTCCAGTTCTGCTGGTGATATTTCTTCGCTCATGAGGAGTACCTTGAAAATAATATTTTTAATAAGTATTATGTTGTGTTAATATTAAGTCTAAATATCAAAAGTGAGTAAGATTTTTAATCAATTAAAATTATTTGTTTTAAAAATCCCGAATTTCTTCAGGAGTTTTGTGTTTTGACATCTGTGATACAAAAAAATGCTGTTCTTTTTTCTAATCAATATTTTTATTGCGTATAATTTGACAATCACTATAAATATTATTACTAAGAAACTTCAAGCATAAAATCTAAATTTATAAAAAAAAATTACACTAATAATCGGTACCTGAAAAGTCATTTGAGATGCAAATATAAGTTTGTCACACTCAAACAAGCCCCTGGACGTGTATTGAAAAACGGAATACGAGATACAGTCAATTAAATTCTTTATCCTTTGGCTGACCTCTTCGGCCGCTTCAGCCCGAGATATTGCTTTTTGGAATACCACACTAAATGCCTACAAAACACATTAATACAACTGTACTCACTAGGATGGATGGATAGCAAATACAATTGAACCAAAATGATTGAACGAAAAATGACTAAAATTTTAACGAAACTAAAATACGCTCAGGTACGGCTTAAAATTTATTTACTTGTTTTTATTATATGCAAGTACCATCCACATCACTGACTAGATAAATCATAAAATTATACTCTACGAGTCTTTAATTCAATTTTACAATTAAAAGCGATTTCCAAAAACTTACCTTAAGCGAAAATTGATATATCGGGTTGATGGTGTTCAAGTCGTTTAATATAAAGTACAAAAGAGACGCTCTAGCGGAGGCAGGTCGATAAAATTCACGAGCCTGATCTATTTGGTGTGACGTCACTTTTGCTTCTGCCACCTGTCAGTTTAAAATCTTTATATTACATTTATTCCTAACTTATAAGGACCGACAAACTCACGACCTAGTCGAACCCACAGAGATACACGAATGCCCCTACTGAACTTCATGAATGACCTTGAATTATCAACTTCATCAGAATAACGGTCACCTCAAAATTTTCGTGTAAGGGATTGGTCTTGACCATCTGCAGATTTTTTTTTTTTTTTATTGCTTAGATGTGTGGACGAGCTCACAGCCCACCTGGTGTTAAGTGGTTACTGGAGCCCATAGACACCTACAACGTAAATGCGCCACACACCTTGAGATATAGTTCTAAGGTCTCAGTATAGTCACAACGGCTGCCCCACCCTTCAAACCGAAACGCATTACTGCTTCACGGCAGAAATAGGCGGGGCGATGGTACCTACCCGTGCGGACTCACAAGAGGTCCTACCACCAGTAATTACGCAAATTATAATTTTGCGGGTTTGATTTTTATTGCACGATGTTATTCCTTCACCGTGGAAGTCAATCGTGAACATTTGCTGAGTACGTATTTCATTAGAAAAATTGGTACCCGCCAGCGGGATTCGAACACCGGTGTATCGCTCGATACGAATGCACCGGACGTCTTATCCTTTAGGCCACGACGACTTCAAAGTAGAGCAGATGTTGAAAGTAGACCGTGGATATTTTTTTGGATTTCCTACCTATTTGGTGGTAGCCTAAGAGGCTATTCCAGCTACGCCCAGACGGTTATGTGAGCTCACGGGCTCAACCTGAGAGAATTTGCTAACATTAGCCCTAGTAAGAGCATCTACCACCGGATCGGAATCGCGACCCACTGAGAAGATCCAGCGAGAAACTCAGTGGGGATTGTCTCTACGGGGAACGTTTTTAGGGCCCTACCCACCAAATGACTCCCCTTACAATCTCTAATAACGGATATCTTGCCTTCTAAGCCAAAAGGCATAGTTGCTTTACAACAAAAAATACACTGAATGTGAATGAAATCAACCAGTGTGTGCTCATAACACACTTTACTAGCGATCTCACAAATTATCGCTCGACGTGAACCTAGTAAACCGTTTAATTTGTCTTTAGATCCGACCTAAATATAAACCAATAAGAATCGCAATTTGTGTAATCTGGATGCGAAGCGTTTAGTTGTTTTTGTTAATAAATCAATTATATTCGACCACAACTTGAACATATAGCTCGATTGGCAACAAGGCAAAATCATTTTTTCATACGCTATGGCTTCTGTTTTTAAGCTTAGTCGACAACCTGTCATCGATACACATATAGCTAAGTCGATAACAAGTCACCAATACATATATAACTAAAATATTTACTTTGACTTTGAATCTCTAATTTTTGTATTTTGGGCTCAGTGATCAATTCAAAATTATCTTTAAATACCTTTTTCTCAATATCAGCAGCAGTCTTTTTCGTTGTTTCTAAATTCTCAACCAAAGCTGTATCGCCTAATATATTCTCTCCGGCTGATGAGAGCCGCGAAAGCAAGTCATCTTCCAACTCCTTCAGCTGTATCTTGAACTGATTCTGTTGTTTTGTTAATTCCGCTTTGAGTTCTTCTAGGTCTGGTCTTTCGGCTTTCACCACTTCGGCCAGAAGTTGATCCTCAAGCCCATCTCTCGTTACAGTGAAATTGACCAATGTTGTCTGAGCTTGCATCTCAGGCTTGTAATGTGGGTTAGCTAATTTCGTGTGTAAAATCAATCTAAAGTTTGGACTGTACTCAATTTCTTTGTCTCCGATCTTTATAGCTCTGGAAAGCAAATTTATAACTTCCATATCTTAATGCGCGAAGAATAAATTTTGTGCCCAATTTTAATAAAATTACAGATTTGGAATAGTTAAAGAAGAGTTTTTTAGTGTAACACTATGTATAATATAATAGTTTTACTGAATCGACTTTTTACCCATGGCTATCTAGCGTAACTGGATCCCGTAAACTATTTCTGTTTTACGTTTTTTAGAATTTTATGATTGAATTCTTCCATATACAGGGTGTGAATTATGGCACCAAGCTTTCTGTTTAATTAGTAGTGTTTTTTTATATTTTTGTTTATTGCTTAGGTGTGTGGACGAGCCCATGGCCCACCTGGTGTTAAGTGGTTACCGGAGCCTATAGACATCTACAACGTAAATGCCGCCCGCCACCTACCTTGAGATAAAAATTCTGCGGTCTCAGTATAGTTACAACAGCTGCCTCACCCTTGAAACCGAAACGCATTACTGTTTCGCGGCAGAAATAGGCAGGATGGTGGTAGCTACCCGTTCGGATTCACAAGAGGTCCTACCACCAGTAATACACTGTAATACAATGTAAACACTATTAACCAACCTTCCCTTCTTAATTAGGTTTCGTCCGAGCAGTGGATCTAGTACAGGGTCGACTGTTTCACCGATGTTTTCTAAGAGAACAGTCTCTCCTTTAATAATAGCCTTCTCTATTGTATCCAGATAGCCTTTCTGTCCGAGTCTTATAACACGAAGTATATCTCCATATTTTTGTTTAATCCACTTCACGCCTTGCAACTACGCAAAAAACTTCATTACATTTTCTCACTCTATCAAGAATTATACACGAGATTATATAAAAACAAAACAGGATAAGTAATATGAGCACTGGTATTAGGCAGGATCCTTAGTAGCAATACAAACATAATGGCTACTGGTACTATTTCATCTAAGTATACGATAAATTATAATCCTACTATTTTACTTTGGATGGTAGGATCGCAGTTGCCTTTGTGGCCACAAAGCAGGCTGATGCTATTGATTAAGGTTCACCTTGGACTCTTTTTGTCGAGTACCTCGTGCAATTGAGACCCTGACTAGTGGTTTAAAAATATCGCGGTTCCCATCCACATTATTGTAGTTAAGGGGTCTTATAACAGTTAATACCAGATGGGCCGTTTAATAAAAACCAAGCACCATGGTTCAAAATTGGTAACATGACATTAATCAGCCTGCTCAAAACTACGAAATCAATAATATCAAGAAGTTCGTATTCACCCATCCTATTATCTTCGACCATTTTTTACCTTTGCAGCGCCTGTAAGCTAAGCACAATTGAGCCATTACACTTGAAATCTCAGCTATCCTCCACAGTGAGTTTCCTGAACTTTTTATTTCATCTTTTTCTTTAGACGTTATTTGAGTGGTGGATCTAAAGCGACCGTGAGCTGTCGATAAGACAGCATTAAAAATGTAAATAATACCTGAGGATCAATCATTAGCGGCCAACGATCTGAGTTGGACAGTATTGTGGCATTTTCAGTGCTCATTCTATCAGAAGGCAGTCCTTCGTTTTGCCACATCGCAATGGTCGTGTCATCGGTCAGCATGGTCAGAGGGTCTAGTCCTTCTGTCGTTGGTACTGGAGGCTATAATGAGGTAAGTTTAATGTTATTACCAGACTATATTCAAAGGCTATCATTGAGATTGACCGAATGACTCGCCTCTAACGTTTTCAAAAACACAAGCCAGTTTTTGTGGAGCAAGTCCAAACGGTATTGCTTCGTGAAGCATCCGACGTATGATATGAAAGCGCAGACCAGCAACACGTCGCCAGGCAAAGTAGTGCTCTGCTGCATGAGACTGAAATATAATTGATTTAGTTACGTAAACGTACGTACTTCAAGCGTCAAGCATAGCAGTGTCTTCTGTAATAGATATCTGACCAGAGAAATTATTGAATGATTTTAATTTTATAAGAACCTCTAGCCAACCCAGTACCCAGCGATACCCACAAGAGAACCCAGTTCTTCAGAACTTCAGTCCAGTGTCGCTTTTATAATAACTGATAATGCTAAAAACTCGTACAGGTAATTACCCTGGCCAACACCTAGCATCCTTTTATATATATATATCTACGACAGGTGATAACTTTGAAGTGTCCATCGTTTAAATAGCCCTTCATAACCATATAGACTGATTTGATTGTGAGTACCGCTTTTATAATAACCGATAACGCTGAAAACCCATACAGGTGTTATCATACCCTTTACCATACATATTTCTGCCACGAAGCAGTCATCCGTTCTAGTTTTAAGAGTAGAACAGTGATACAAGTACTTGAGAATTGGACGTCGTATCCCAAAGAAGATTTTGGTATTCATGCAATAACAACTTACCAATAGTTCCAATGCAAACTCATCAACCCGCCTAGATCAAAAGTATACAATTAAAAATATCTCGCCTTGACACGGCCTCCGCCCATCTGACGTTCTCACTAGCGAGCCCATTGACTAGTCGGTTCGCCAGTTGGATGGTTCGGTTGGTGGCATCCGCTTCTTGTTGACACTTTAATTTTTCCGATGTCGCCTTCTCGAACTCTGACGTCAACGTCGCCAATTGTTCTTCTAGAGACTACAATAAAATTTGCTGCTATTTAACAAATAGCTCTTTAGGCTACCAGAGAAGGAAGGCGAAAAAAAAAGAGGCGAAAAAAAGAATTAGGCAGCGGCTTCGATAATTTTTTTTATTGCCCTTGTAGGCAGACGAGCATACGGCCCACCTGATGGTGAGTGGTTACCGTCGCCCATGGACTTCAGCAATGCCAGGGGCAGAGCCAAGCCGCTGCCTACCGCTTAATACCTATATGTAGGAAAGCAACGGAACGGTATGGATGAATGATAGATATGGAGAATGGCTGAGTGAGAGGGATAGGAGATATCGTGTTAGGGAGTAAGAAAGAAGGCGAATGAATGCGGAACACATAGTTTTATTTTTTAGGTGAAAGGAGGGTAGTACCGGACGCGACTGCAGACAGACGTGGCACTTTTTGGCGGGAACGCGAGAAGTGAAGTCATGTGAGTTGTTTTATTTTGTCTATTTAGTGTTTCTTCAGGTTTAAATTTGTAATAACGGTGCTTTATTAACTATTTAGTATCTGTGAAAGTGCACAAATGTGGGAAAATGAAACAAAGCCACTGGACGTAACTTCTCAGGATCACCCAAAAAGTTCACTGAGAAAATCTCAGTAAATGACCACCATTTTACTGAGATTATATTTCAACCCATATCATCTCATTTCATGCCATGATTCATATTAATCAACTTCATTTCATTTCATAAAATCATTTTTCATATAAAAAAGTTGTCATTAAAATTAAAATAAGACTTGACTTTTCCGTCCTATCATCAAAGGTGTCATTAGTACTATCGTCTGTCTTCGGTTTCGGCATGGAGGGTAGAGGTAAGGAGAACCGTCTTTGTGTGTGAACAGTGTCCGTTAAAATCTGCTAAATAAGGGTGGCGCTACCGTAGCAACCATTTTATTAAAAGCCGATAAGAAAATGCAATCGATGTCTCCACGTTTTACCACAGCAATAATTTTAGGTTATATTCACGAAATTAGTTTGGACTACGTAAACATGTGAGGTCTTGATTTATAATAGCAAAATACACACGAGTAACGAGAATGGATAGAATACGGATGAATATGTTAGAGGAAGTCTGAAAGTGGCACCTGTGACAGAGAAGCTGAGAAGTGCGCGTTTGGGATGGTATGGACATGTGATGAGACGAAATGAAAATGAAGTTGGTAAGAAAATGTTAACTATGAATGTGGAAGGATATAGAGGAAGAGGTAGACCTAAGAAGAAATGGATGGATTGCGTGAAAGACGATATGGTAAAAGAGGAGTGGACGAAAAAATGGTATATGATAGAAGAGTATGGAAGGAGAAAACATGTTGCGCCGACCCCAGGTAACTGAGAGAAGGACAGGATAATGATGAATAATAAAATACACACCGCGACTTTCGATTTGATGGCCTTCAATTTCTCCGTGGCCGCCGCCAGTTCCGCGTTGGCCGCCGCCAATGCTTTGCGCTTCGGTTCCACGTCGCAGAAGACCTCGTAGAACTTAATGATGTTTATGACCCAAGCGCAGAGACCGGCGGCAGCAGCAGATTTCGATCTGACAAATTCTTTACGAGAATCGAGAAAACGATATGAGAACTAGACTAATATAACTGTTGAGCTCCTACTCATATTAGCAATGCGACTGTACCGGTGTCTTAATGCCACAAACCAATTTTTCTAATTAATAATAACTAGGAACAAAATCACGCACGGTCATCCGCCCCAATCAAATTTACCACGCTTTTTTACAATAAAATCATTTTTTCTTACACTATTTTTAATTCAAATTGAATAAAATTTATTTTTTATTTCTTAGTTGGATTTTCTATAAAAGTGTCTTTTGTTAGTTTTTTAAACTATTATTTTTAATTTACCCGGTTCAAATTCCGAATCCTTCAGGTACGGCTGAATAGCTTTGATGACGTCAGGGTGAATATTTTCTTTGTCGTAATGTATCAACGATTCCAGAAACATGTCCACCTTCGCCATCACAACCTTGAATCACATTGCATTTGGCAGAATAAAATATTAATTGCTTTTGTGAAAAATGATTTATATACGGCCAGATGGTACTCGGGTCGTTGCGCGGATGAGAAAGTTTCATAAGTTCAAGAACGAAGAGAGAGACTAGGTTAATGAGTATGGTTTTTTTAAACTACCGAACTATTAATCACAAGAAAGATCCAATAGTTCCAAAACTAGCGCTTATAAGCGAAAAATAGTAAAGAACCATTAAAATCAAAGACCTATATCTATATGACAGCTCAACTTATTAGCCGAATGAAGTGAATTCAATTGCAATGACTGTCGTTTTATAAAATCGAACGTCTTCGAAAGTTCTTTCATTCTAAAGTGACCGTTAACTATCAATGATCAAAAGTTCAATTTTGAGTACATTTTTTAAATATTTGGGATGGTATTGTCATTTGAAATTACTTAGGAAAAGGCAATAATTCGTTTTTATGAACCCTATAGCTATTATTTTTATATATTTATTGAACTTTATAACCAAAAGTACAATGGCGGACTTAATGTCCCAGGTATTCTCTACCAGTCAACCACGGGTGGTGTAGAGTCCTGTGACGGGAGCATTTCTTTTTGAGAAATAAGAAAAAGATTATAATAATCTTTTTTTAAACCTCCTTACATTTTTCTCATGGTTTATCATGTACCTTGGCAGCTTTCCAGCTCCTGTCCTTGGGTATTTTCCCTCCGGGAGCCAACAGCACCATTACAGCAGCAGTAACATTAGTCACAGCCCCGGGAGGCGAACCGAACGACTTCAGCTCAGTCAGATTAGCTTTGTTGAGAGTGTTCAGAGCTTCTTGGGCTGCCACCAGCGCTGGTTCTGCTTTAATCAAGTCCTCTTCGCAATCTTTCTGCTTCTTTAATACTTCCTCTGCTATTACTGCTACTTTTTCTTCTTCTTCATCAGCTATAATATATGTTTTAGTGTTAGAATTGTATGCAGCTTTTTTTGTTTGTTATATCCATGTGACTTTTTAACAATTCTAACAATTTATGTAACAGTTGACAGGTCCACTAGGAAAAAAAAGAGGGGAAGACCATATACTAGATGGGAAGACGATATAAAGAACGTAGCAACTACAAACTGGGTTAAAATTGTGCGATTCAGAGAAGATTGGTTATCCTTGGAGGAGGCCTTTACCCGAGGAGGGGTTCTTGCAAGTGGGAAATAATACTTAATATTATTCAACAAATATATTATTTACTAGTTAAGAATTGCATTAATTTTTGTTTTTATGTCTCTTTTTTATGTCACTTGTACAAAATAAAAGGCTTTTTTTAATTTTTATTTATTTATTATGTAACAAATTTAGCTTTGTTTATCGTAAAAATGACAAAATTTAACAGGAACCTTTACTGTTCGTTTACCTTTTAAACCTCCCCTCCACGGTGTTTCCCGAGCGCTATGACATATCCTTCTTGAAACGAGGCTTGTGGAGAGTACTTAACGGTAGGCAGCGGCTTGGCTCTGCTCCTGGCATTGCTGAAGTCCATGGGCGACGGTAATCACTTACCATCAGGTGAATCGTACGCTCGTTTGCCTACAAAGGCAATAAAAAAAAAGATACGAGTCCCAAAAATGTAATTCAAATCGAATTGAATCAAACCTTACCAAGCCCTTTTTCACTTTGTACCTTCGCGGTCTCCACACCAACCATTTCTATGAGTTTGTCAGCCGCTTCGTTTTTCTGTTGCAATTCGATTTCTTGTATTGCTAGTTTAGCTTTCAGCTCGTCTACTTGACACGCTGTGCTCCGAAGTTTTTCTAGACCGTTTTCTAGCCTTGAAATGAATCAGTAATTTAATGCTTACCACCTTTTTTGTTTAAATTGATATGGGTAATTAAATTTTAGTTACACTAAACTAATTGAACTGACTCAAATTATTTGAAAGGACCAATAACGGTTGACTGGGGTTAGAATGTATCTAAAAGATTACCGATTCTATTAAATTTCCATAGCCATGTTGCCTGAAGGGTCTCTCTAGATTGGTGCTAATAAGAAAAGAATCTATACTAATAGTATAAAGTTGAAGAGTTTGTTTGTTTGAACGCGCTAATCTTAGGAACTACTAGTCCGATTTGAAAAATTATTTCAGTGTTAAGATAGCCAATTTATCGAGGAAGGCTCTAAGCTATATAACGCTATGACCAATACAAACGTAGCACCAGTAATGTTCCAAAATCGGGCTTTTTTCCCTTTTGAGAGAGAGTGTGCGCTGCAGAAACGGTTAAAGTTTCGCTAAAATAATATAAGACAGAATTGTTCCCTTTTAAAAGACCTAAAAAAAGTCCGCGACAGTATATGTCTATATGATAAGGTTGGCTCACTATAAAGTTTTTTATGCTAACCAAATTTATTCTAAAACTAGCGACCCGCCCTCGCTTCGCTTCGGAAACATTAAAACACACATGAAACCAAAAAAATAAAATAAAAAAAATTAAAAAAAAAGTAGCCTATGTTCATCAGGGACAATATCGGCTTCTAATGGAAAAAGAATTTTTCAAATCAGTCCAGTAGTTTCGGAGCCTATTCGAAATAAAACAAACAAACAAATCTTTCCTCTTTATAATATTAGTATAGATAAAGCATTATATGTGAACTATTCCACGCGGACGATGTCGCGGGCAAAAGCTAGTATCTAAATAAATATTCATTTACCGAGTAATTTTAGCTTGCAGTTCATCGGTTTTTTGATGAACCAGTTTGGCGTAGAGACTTATCTGTTCAAGATAACTTTTAGGAGTGGTGTAATTATATCTTCTTTCATTTGCCAAATACGCTTTAGATACTGTATTCACTGAGGTATGAACGTACGCCATGAATCGTGATATTGAATCTCTCAATGTAATCTACAAAATGAGAATACAAAATGGAAGCATATTTATAAGTTCAATAATAAACCTGTTTTCTATAAAAATCGAGGGGTGAAAACCTATTGGGCTTAAGCGACATTTCCCTTAATACGCAACATTTATCTTTGTAATTAAAGGTGCGTTTTATTTGGTATTAGCATCACTTGTTCATTGTTTTTAATTGAACTTCAATAAAGTTTCCTCCATTCAAATAGCTGAAAAAGTTTTTTTTGTTATGATATAATTTATTTGTTTATTTTTTATTTATTTATAACTTTATATACTAGACAGTATAAAGGCGGACTTAATGACATAGGCATTCTCTGACGTTATTTCCAAATTTTTAAACTTTAATTGGTTCTCCTATGAAGTTGCAAAAATGTTGCTTAAAATAAATAGCCTTTCACCCCCTACATATTATTATTAATATTAACTTTGTATTCTATATCATAATATCAGCTGAATTTTGAATACAATACATTTAGGTATTATGCTAGAAGTAAGGTAGCTCCCACAACTTCTCTAAATAGTACACAAGCCCTCTGACTTGTGAAAGAAAGTTTTTACATAAATTCAAAACGTACTCGCCAGTATAATACAAAATGTCGTACCGGCAAAGAATGCAATTCCTCCAAGAACCTCATAGCCACTGACACCAACGCCTCTTGAGGCCACTCGTGGAACCAGTTAATCGAGGTACAATTAATCAAGGCTGGGAATTTTCTAGAACGCACTCGCAACGTCGAACCGACTGGCGAAAAGCATAACACCACTTTGAGCTGCTTCCTAACTCTGTCGATGAAGAACTTCCAGCAGATTTCTCTGGTATCAGGCAGGCCGGCTCCTTTTACCTTAAATGCAATTTTTAAGTACATGTGACCTGGTTGCATTTATCTGACTTGGTGGTGCAGTATTTAGCAACTTTAACTGCTGGGCCGAGTGTCGTAGGTTCGATTTCCGCATAACAAGGATGTTTGCTCTTTGTCTGGGTGTTTAATATCCATATATGTATTTAAACGCATATAAGTATGTAGATATATATCAGTATCTGGCGTCCATAGTACGGGAAATCCTAGTTAGAGACCAGTTAACTATGTGTGATATATTTCCGATTAATATTTATATATTATTACACTTCATGTAACATTTACATTAGCAGCCTAAGGCATTCTCAACTAGTTAACCAAAGTTAGTGCAGAGAAAATAATGGTAGATGCTTTGAAATATCAATTAAAAAATGTTATGGTAAAAATTATTTGGTGTTATTCAGTACAGAGATTCATAAAATTTAATAAACCCAATTTTCCGTTCCTCTAATCCACATTCACTCCTATTTTTTGGCTGCCACTTGCTGATTGACGATTCACTAATCTCACATCACTATTCCGAAATCTCTTCTGCTCCAAAAATTATTTGATTTTCCTTAAGTTTCATAGGCAAACATACATTTATAATTTAATTATACTATATTGTAGGTATATTAATACCTTTAAAAAAAACTATCAACTCGATTGTATGTGTTCGTATGACGATACGTTTTAAATCCTAATTTGTAGGCAGCGGCTTGGCTCTGTCCCTGTCATTTGATGACGTCAATGAGCACTCTCTATCACGTTTGTCTATAAGGTCAATAAAAAAAACAAAAACTTACCTCATTTCTGACACCAGCTATAATATTCTCGATTTCATCGTCAGGGAATAAGTCGGCGATCTCACCAGAGGCCAACAGATCGTTGATCAGCACCAAGAATTGCTCGTTGGCGACCTGAGCGTCTGTCATCAGGAACATTATGCCAACGTTCTTGAGACCCGTCTTTATGTACAACCCCGATAATTCGTGCTGTACGTAAACAAAAAACTCAATCAAATATAATTATTATTCTATTCTCATGATGGACGCCATAGCACTAATAGCAAATTTGGTTCGGAGAGTCCTATGAACACAAGTATTCATAATATCGCAAAAGAAAAGCCTAGCCTATTGTAAACAAATAATTGGGCTTAACTAATAAGCATTACTTCACTGATACATTTTGACGTGATAACGTCTTATAAATCCACGAACACCGGCTCCACGCACGAAAAAGTGTCACGTTCCGCCTGAGCGTGCAAGCGAGAGCGCAGAACAAGCGATAGAGAGGTACAACCCAAACGTTGGCTTGTGACACATTTATCTCTGTTCTCGCGTAACGTCAGAGCTAGCAGTTTGAATAGTTCTACTACTGACGTTATCACGTAAAACTGTCGTCCGTAAACGCGACTCTACAGACAGCTAATTATTATTTTTCTATACAATAGTAGCCCAATTGAATTATAATGATGATGTTCTTTTTTAGTCGATTATACCACAAATTGCATAAAAATCTCGGAAGAAATACAAGTATGCCGTTAATATAAATCACTTTGCTTAAATCGGTCTATACGACAAATGCAAATTTGGCTCAAAGCAACGAAATGGTTTAAGACATGTTGAGGAAATTCACTAAAATTCATAATAAAAAAATAGCCATATTATGGTAGTAACACGAAAACACCAAACCTATTTAGACTTTGGTAATTACAGAGAAAATTATAGGTACTATTGTAAATTATGATATTAATTTCACCTTAAGGTCACTAACGCCATAGCCTTTCTTCAGTTGGATTTGTGAAACCTCCAGGCTGGATATAAACGCTGCGAGTCGCGATAAGGACTGCTTACCGGATCCTCCAACTCCAACCAATAACGCGCTTCCTCTGGGACTTTCGAGGATACGACTTATTCTACAAAAACATGTACATAGTACGCAGATTTTAGCTCATCGATATTTGTTTTTTGCATTCTATAACGCGTTTTCAAATTTTTTACTGGTGGTAGGACGTTTTGTGAGTCCGCACGGGTAGGTACCACCATCCCGCCTATTTCTGCCGTGAAGCAGTAATGGGTTTCGGTTTGAAGGGCGGAGCAGCCGTTGTACTGTTAAAAGTGAGACCTTACAAGTCATGTCTCAAAGTGGGTGGCGCCATTTACGTTGTAGATGTCTATGGGCTCCGGTAAACTACTTAAGGTGGGTACACCAGGTGGGCTGTGAGCTCGTCCACCTATTTAAGTAATAAAAAAATAAAAATAAATTATACGATATGTTACAATGTGTGGACACTTTTTACATTGCAAAACTTATCTTGATATCAGCGTTATTCTATTCGTATACTATATATATTACTATATATATATATATATATATATATATATATAATGTATTATTTTATTCACCATAAAAGAAAGCTTAATCCAGTAAAACTATAGCACAAACTGAGTTACTCTATAAAGAGAAACAACATTTAAAGCTTCACCTATTGCTTCACCAGTTCTTATGTGTCATATACGTATTTCAATATTCAAAAATGTTTTTAATGTTTCTTCTTCTAATGTTTCAATATTCAAAAATACCATTTATGTCACCTGTATAACTTATTACGTATATACTCTATCATTCAATGCTGTTATATTTTAAGGAGATTTCATCATCACTAGAATTCTATAATCATTTTAGACAATGATAGTAAAAGTCGGTTTGAAGGGCGGGGCAGCCGTTGTGACTATACTGAGACCTTAGAACTATATTGCTTAGATGGGTGGACGAGCTCACAGCCCACCTGGTGTTAAGTGGTTACTGGAGCCCATAGACATCTACAACGTAAATGCGCCACCCACCTTGAGATATAAGTTCTAAGGTCTCAGTATAGTTACAACGGCTACCCCACCCTTCAAACCGAAACGCATTACTGCTTCACGGCAGAAATAGGCAGGGCGGTGATACCTACCCGTGCGGACTCACAATAGGTCCTACCACCAGTGATTACGCAAATTATAATTTTGCGGGTTTGATTTTTATTACACGATGTTATTCCTTCACCGTGGAAGTCAATCGTGAACATTTGTTAAGTACGTATTTCATTCGAAAAATTGGTACCCGCCTGTGGGATTCGAACACCGGTGCATCGCAACAACGAATGCACCGGACGTCTTATCCTTTAGGCCACGACGACTTCAATCAATATCTCAAGGTGTGTGGCGCATTTACGTTGTAGATGTCTATGGGCTCCAGTAACCACTTAACACCAGGTGGGCTGTGAGCTCGTCCACACATCTAGGCAATAAAAAAAAATAAAAAAAAAAGTTTACCTGCAAATATGCATCATGGCGTCTTCAAAGAGCACCAAATTCATAGCAGCAATGAGATCGTTGTAACTAGCCATGGCTTCTGTCAGTAGCTTGTTAAGTTGCTCCCAAGTAGCTATCGGCATATATTTAGGCTCTCCAATACCACCGGCAAAATGACAATAAATATTCGGTCTTTCGAAAACAACGCCTTCGTCGATGTCCTAAAACGTATGGTTGGAAAAATAGAATGTAATAGATTAACATAAGTATCTTTAAAACAAAAAAGTCAATCATTTTATAGGCGTTTTGGAAACGCTACCCAAGATACTAACGAAAATCGAGATTGAGAAGAAACGCAAAATTTAATTTAAAAAAAGCAATAAGTTCATATCGTAATGATTTTGTGTACATTTGATAAGCAACTGACACTTTTACACCAGTGTGAAGACGTCCCCTTAATCTTAGACTTCAAACTCTTGAAAAATGAGTAACCCATGTTTAGCTGTTAAATGGCAGCTTTTAAATGGAGTAATATAGAGTAAGAGAGTGTTTAAGGCAAAATACGGGCTTAATGGCACAAGTTGCAAAAGGCCTGCAGTGGACAAGTGTATGCTGATGATAATAATGAGTCTTTTATACCAGAACAAGCAACTATTTACTAATGACTCTTCGATTGACATGGCCCTTAAATTAAAGAAGTCATCAAAGAATCATAAAAAGAATACCTCAAAATTCTTCTTGCAGATATCAACCTGCATTTTCAAGAAGGCATCAATATCCTTCTCTTCTGTTAGTTTATCGCCATACACCCTGTGTGTTTCGTGCAGCCAGAGTCGAAGTAGATCAGACGGGTTCACCAAACACTCATTAGTACTAAACAAAAGACCCTAAAACCGTAATATTTAGGATCATTTCATCTATGCATCGCATTCTTAACAAAGCACCTATGTTCTGTGGTTCTCATAAATACGAATTATGATATTCCGGCTTCATCGGGATACTCCCACTAAGCCTATGATCCGCAGATAGTATTTTTACCTAATTTTTCTACCTACTTTCCTCTACACTTTTTTCCAATTGGTAACTCAAGATCTTGTAGTAGGGCATATTATAAGGCCACACGACTTGATTTCACCATTCTACTTAATGTGAACAAATTATGCATTCCGATCTAAAGACCGAACTCCGTTAATACTAATGAGATTTCAAAGCTATATCTCAATGTGGGCAGATAAATTCACCAGTCTATGATCACTGAAAACCTTCTAAAAGAAAAGAGCGTGTAAACTGGGCTGATCTAAGGAAAAAGATTTACCTGGAAAACATTGGATAAATCCCTGAGATTGAATATGTAGTGAAATTTGATTGCTGTCGGTAGAAATACTTGAGACACCTTACTGTGTAATGCCACAGTAGCTCTGACTACGTTCGCTGAAAGTCAATAGGTTACTAAATACAATGCTACAATAAAACGTTACAAAATAAACAACACACATACAAAACGTTCCGAATCAAACATGTTAAAACTACGCAGTCCCACGTTGGGCGCCAATATCATTTTTAAGCTATAACATTATTAATCATGATTAAACGGTATTTTGAATTTTCTTTAAACGTACCTAAGATAAATTAAAATGAGGCAAAAACAATCTCAACTAAAACATAAACACTTAATCTTTATTAAATAAAACAAAGGCTTCATTTTTTCATTTACTAGTGGTAAGACGTCTTGTGAATCCGCATGGGTAGGTACCACCATCCTATGTTTTTTTTTGCAGGTATATTGTGGAGGTTTATGGTCTTAGGTAACCACTTAACACCAGGTAAGTCGTGAGCTCGTCCGCCCGTCTAAGCAGCAAGTAAAAATCAATTTCCCTTCGACAAAAGCTGAAGGACAATTCCAACACTCACCTGACAATTTAGCAATGAGCGGACTGATCTTCAATTCCGGGTTAGTCAGGTGCTGAATCAGAATCGATTGGTATATATTATTGAGAGCGTCGCTGTTAGGGAAACTGATGGCAAACACGCAGAAATGTCGCTGCAACCTCGGATTGATAGTGAAGCTACCAGAGGTCGGATTCATGCAGGACACGTACTGCGTGTTGTGGATGTCCTTTAACGTCAGCTTCGTCCTGTCGTACCAGTGGTTGTAGTCCAAGTGCTGACGTATGATGGTGTGCGGCTGCACGGTCCCATAGGTGTCCACCTCCGGCATGTTCATGTCATCGATGAAGTATATCAAGGTCTTGTTCCCCGGGGGGCCGTAGTTCCGACCGGCCTTCTTTTCCAATGGTTTCTCGAGAACCTTCTGAAGCATTTCGGAGCTCGTGTAGAAATTGAACGGCACTGATTGAATTGCGTAATTTTCTGAGAGGCTAAAAAATGGACAATATCCTTATTATAAATATCTGAAAAATATATATGTCAGAGACGGTCATTAGTTTGGTAGCTAAACGAAACACAGCACGATTCCCGAGAGATGGCAGCACGATTGCGGTATCGTCGGAACTCGGCTAACTTAGTGCTTCTTAGCCGATGGAGGAGCGTAGATGCCATCACACTTACCAACCAGCCTTCTTGATGGGCGGTGCCTCCGTCCTATTAACTGTCATTCGTTTTCTTTTGCTAACGCCAAGAGAAGATTTCTAAATTGTTCTAAGACAACAAACGTGATTGGTGTACTCATATTTCTCTTAGTTCGACCACCCTATTCGCCCCTATGATGTCTGACGAGGGTGTTCATAATTGTGGCTTCTCCGACACATACATATATTTAGTAGTACTGGTATATATAATGTACAGTTACCTTTGCAACTTTTCGTTGACTAACACAGTCTTTCCGCATCCGGCACCACCGACCAACATGACCGGATGCTTGTTCTTCATGAGCAGATCCAAAAAGTATCTTATCCGTATCGTTTCTGCAGTCGGAACTAACACGGCCTGAAATAAACAAACTATGACCGGTACCAATACCAGTAAACAAACCATGACCATAAACAGGTAACATTATTTTTTGCTCAAATGTTAAATAACTAAATAATAGGCTTCAAATCACACGCGGTTATCTGGACCCAAATTAAATTTTCCCGTACTATGGAAATCAGAAATAGGCTATAGTTACAGCTGAAATAATTCTAGATTCAAATTATTTTAAATCTATACATACACATCTTTGAACAACAGTTATTCAAAATAATTAGTATAAGATAATCAAATTGGTCATAGAGTTAATGTAGTATTTCCTTCCGCTTTGGCTAATCAGAGATAAAAATAAAACCACTTTTAGAGTTAAATTTCACGTTTTTCTGCTGTCGTTATATTATTTCCGACATTTTGAACACTTTACGGTTTTCGTGGTCACGGAAGACTGAGGCGTTATTTCATTGAAATTATCCGTAAAAACGTAAAATGTTTTGTAGAAAAATACATGGTTTAACGGAGGTCTGGTGTAGTGGTAAGTGACATGGTCACTACACAAGGGGGTCGCGGGTTCGACTCCCGCCAAGGGAAGATATTTGTATGATAAATATAAATGTCTTTTCCAGGGTCATAGATGTATATTAAATATGTGTATGTGTATAATAAAAATCTTACATTTATCTGTTATCTGGTACCTGTAACACAAGTTCTTTACGAACTTATCACGGGACCAGTTAACGTGGCGTGATTGTTAGTAAATATTTAATATTATTTATTACATGGTAGCTATTAAAATATTAATATATCGACGAACAACGAATAAACGAATTCAAAGGAATTTTGAATAAGAATAAATAATAATTAAGAATAAATTTAAGTGCCGCATGAAATTACTTGTAAGGGCATATCTGTATCCAACTCGAACTTGGGTATCTTCTCCACCCAGGGCGTGAACTGTTTTGTTTCTGAATCGATGTAGAAATCGAACACGGTACCGCCGGCTGGGAACTTTACAGTCTTGAATTCGTTCACCCACCATTTTGTGAATTCTAAAAAAAATATACTCAACGTCACGTTGTAAATAATTGTTATTTTTCAATCAGTTTCGATCACTTTATTGCTTCGATGGGTGGACGAACTCACGGTCCATCTGGTGTTAAGTTGTTACCGGAGCCCATAGACATATACAACGTAAATACCACCACCCACCATAATACATGAGTTCTAAGACTCAGTTTTTACAGTACAACGGCTGCCCCATCCTTTAAACCGAAACGCATTACTGCTTCACGGCAGAAATAGGCAGGGCGGTGGTACCTACCCGTGCGGACTCACAAGAGGTCCTACCATCAGTACAATAAATAATAGTATACAGTAAATGATAAAATAATTAAGATTATCGTTAATTTCGACAACATTGTAAAACCCAGACACATTTACATAAGAATAGACCTTTTATGAGAAAGAGCTTTAAAGTTATAGTGGTTTTTTTTATTGCTTAAATGGGTGGACGAGCTCACAGCCCACCTGGTTTTAAGTGGTTACTGGAGCCCATAGCCCATATACAACGTAAATGCGCCACCCATCTTAAGATATGAGTTCTAAGGTCTCAGTAATCTGCGCCAATAAAGAAACGAATCTAAAATGGCAGCGACGATCATGCGCTCTCACTCTAAACTATTGCTGTCTTTAGTCGCACAAGGCGCGTACTGCGTGCAAAAAAATATCGATTCTGACTTTGTCGTTGAGTTCGAGTTTTTTCACTTTCGAGTTGTGCGACTTAGATGACTGGCAGCAAAAGTGTCTGTTGCAACCCAGATGAGACACCTCCCCCTCTGCCAGGGTATAAAGTAAGGTAAAGTACATTATTTGTTTTTTTATATTTTTTTACAATAAACAACTTTTTCTTTCTATCTTTCTTTTTATTTGTTGTCCCTACCATTTGTCAGTGCAGGTACATAGACGCCATTTTCGATTCGTTTCTTTATTGGCGCGGCTTATACATATAGTAGTGTACGAACTAAGCTCTCACCAACTCTATAATCGATGTTCGTATCCTGGAACATGGCGGAACCGAATGCCCAAACACAAGCGAAAACGAAAAATATATCGTGCCACTCCTTAGGGCACTCCGCGGGCGTGTTCTCGTGCACCAGCAAGCAGTTCAACAAATGACAAAGCATTTGCACGTGCGCCATGTCCGCTATGGGCGTTATCTTCTTGAAACGATTCCGAACCGTCTCCAAGCACGGAGGTATGTACTTGTCGAATAGGATTACTAGATTCGATTTTTCGGCTGGAATCTTTCGAGTTTCAACCCAGCTCGTTACGTATCTGTCGCAAAAATCAATAAATGAATGTCAAACGCAATTCAAATCTGATATATATGTACATAAATAAATAAATATCATTTACAACTTTGTTTAGAAGGTCTAAGATGTCTATTGTATTTAGTTCAAAATAGAATAATCCAATCATGTGATGAGAAGTAATTTGTTAAAATAATTTAATCAAATCAATCATTTAATAAAAACTTATGCTTACGGATTCCATCCTAAATCTTGTGGATTAATATACAGGATGCCAGCTCTCGACACCGTTGCCGGGGTAGCTGTACGAAGATTTGATATTTCAAACATCAATCTCATAGTAGGCGTTAGAGCAATCCTTTCATTGCTAGCTAGAGTGAGAATTTTATTGTCATCCATAACAGTATTTAGAGATTCAATCCACATAGGATCTATATCGCCATCTAAAATAATCCACTTCGGATTCTCGCCGACAATGTTAGCTTGATCTCTCATTATAACTGAAAATAAGCCATCTTTCCACTCTCTGGTCGCCGGATTTATAATTCCGAACAACTCATCGTTTGTCACTGCTTTCGGATTCAAGTCATTGAACAATGGTTTCTTTTTCAAGTTTTGATAAGTTTTAAACAAAGTTTTCCAGACTTGTGTTTTACCAGTACCAGCATTTCCAACTATGAACACCGAATGGCGGACCTCTAGTAATTCTTCTAACTGTACAACCTTCAGTATGAAATTATCTTCGGGCTGTAACGTAAGATCCATGGCTGCTTGCTTGACAGTTCTTTCAAATTCTAAATCACGTTTACGAGGCACTTCAAGGGCGGGAAATAGATCTCCAATCAGTCCCATAAAAACTGGCATGTCGTCAGTTATTATTTTCGGTATATTAAAATCGCGAAGTGTCCTCATCAACACTTCTTCCTCTGGTCTACCCGGATCTCCTCGCTAAAATTCATATTCTATTAATAAATCATAAGTCACTAAACTTAATAGAATACTTTTTATTGAACACCACACAAAACAAATTACAAATATTATGGTATCTAACAACGCACAAAATGTTATCAAGGTACTCTGTTAGTAAAGAGTTATTTTCCAGGTATATATAAAAATTATATTATACTGATATAAATAATAATGTAGTTTTAATTTAGTAGGAAACCATACCTTGAGTGACCCGGCTACTACTAACACAGACTTTATAGCTCTCAAGCCCCAATCATAATGATCTTGTTTCGAAAGAAGTTCTTTACACAAAGTATAAAGTGTTATGAATTTTCTGGCCAAAATTTTTGCCTCTTGGAAGCCTTCGGCGACTAACATGATCTCACAGATCAATTCGAAATCTGGTACGACCATGGCGCATGGTCTGAATAGCGCTTTGAGGTTCTCCGGAAGCTCTGTTCTGCCGGCATAGCCGGGGTTCATCGTTATAAATATCCCAACAGTTGGCACCAAACTAATAATTTCGCCCATGAAATTAAATTTTTCCTTTTTGTCTCTGGAAATAGAACATAGCATAAAACTTATGTTTTAGAGATTGTGGTGTAAACTTAAGTATCAAAGCATACCTTATAGCGTCTTGTACAGATTTAACTTGAACCGCCACCACGGATAATACTTCTACGGAAATTCTGTTGAATTCATCAAAACAACCCCAAGCACCAGATTGCGCCAGACCTTTGTAGATATTCCCGCAAGACTGGAAATTAAAACACAATTTAAAATATCTTTAAGAAATTAAGAGATTCAAAAATATCTTTGGCTTCATGTTCTTACCTGATAGTCCATTTGTTCAGAACAATTGAAGACGTACACCATGATTCCCAAAGCCCTTCCCAGATCTTTAGTAGTCTCTGTTTTTCCCGTGCCAGCAGGCCCAGCAGGACCACCTCCCATTATTAGATGCAAGGACTAAAACATTATAGAATAGTAAATTCATCAACAGTACCATTTAATGCTGCGATGTGATCATGATGATGTGATTTAAGTCACCTGCGTCAGAGTGATATAGCAGCGGTCGGTGAGAGGCGTGATCACCAATCGAGGAGTGTTGCCCAAGTACTCGTAGCTGTATTGAAATTGAGCGTCGCAAATGTTCGCGAAACAGTGTACTTCAGTTTCGTCCCACCTAAAAACAAAGCCTAAATAAATCAAAGTCTTTTCATTCTCAAATGATTTGTTGTAAGCTAAGTTCAAATTTTATCTTTTTTAATCTCAGGATTTATAACAAAACTCTCTCCTATTTTAACACACATACGAGATAGTAACAAGTATATTTCCAAATACTAATCAGTTCTCAATACAAATTATGTAAACAGTACGAAAAGGTCATCCATGTATTTGTAAGCCCGTTCAAATAAATATCCAGTCTATTTCTGCCCCGAAACTGTCATTATTTCCGGGTTGAAGGGTGAGGCATTGATTTTACTATATAATTGAAACTTCGACTTTAAGGTAGGCTGCATAAACAACATGAGACCTATAGGACCCAATAATCGCTTAAAACTAGGCGGGCCATTAACTCGTTAATTCATTAAAGCAATAAGAAATAAAAACTATGTTTTAGAATTCTAAACATAATAACACGAAAAAAACTTGGACCGGAAATCGAATCAAAACCCCATACCGCTGTCAAAACCGCTCACTACTCGACCAATGAGACAATCGAAATATTTAAGTGACTGATGAACTACATTAGTGAAAAGTTCAAACTAAATGTAAGTGCTTATGATAACCTTGGATGATTAAGTGCAGATGACGATTTAGTTGTGTTTCGTGAAACCTGTGTCTCAGTTGGGATTGCCATTGAAATGCTGATCCAGCTTCGACTTTCCCTTGTATCAACTTGCTTACAACGTCTCTTGAATGCACGTCTATTGTGCATATAGTCATAATTTTCTGTCGGTCCTGCTTGCTCAGCTCTCCGATCAGGAGCGAAATCAATGTGCTTAATTGGTACAACTGTTTCTTGTAGTAATCTTTCAGTGCATTATCATATCCTTCCTCTAATCTAGCGAAAGCCATGTTAACNGCTTCGACTTTCCCTTGTATCAACTTGCTTACAACGTCTCTTGAATGCACGTCTATTGTGCATATAGTCATAATTTTCTGTCGGTCCTGCTTGCTCAGCTCTCCGATCAGGAGCGAAATCAATGTGCTTAATTGGTACAACTGTTTCTTGTAGTAATCTTTCAGTGCATTATCATATCCTTCCTCTAATCTAGCGAAAGCCATGTTAACTTCTGTGGTCCACCAGATTTGTGAACCGCACAAAGACACCTGAGCCATGAAATCAAACAGCCACTGCTCGCGAGGTTTCTCTTCGTAGGTCACGATCGCTTCACCGAAGTAATGGCGGATTGTCGATCTCATTATGTCTTGTAATCTGTTAAGCCATATTTCAACCTGAAACGTATCAATTTAATAGTTTCTCTTTTCATTTAAAACTTCATTAAATTAATTAGTACTTGATACTTACGGGTCCGGTACAATCGCACGTACCATGAAACGGTACATATTCACCGTCTTTAGCTATCATGCCTAAGGCTACTTTCTCATTGGGCTGATCAGTTTCGTTAAACTTCAATTTAGCAATCGAATCGAACAATTTAGTTAAGTGCCTTATAACAAGATCTGCCTGGTTACCATTAGACAGAATATCTAATAGATCCGCAGATGATACGAAATAAAATCTTGGAAACGCGAGTCGTTTAGTCTCCAAATATTCGGCCAAAGCCTTTTCGCAAATTACCAGATCCTTTTGTAACAAATCCAAAATTTCCACAAGTCCTTCTTTGTTCGTTCCTTTTACCACGTTCGGTGTCTTTGACATTTCTTGCGATAAAATCTGCGGAACAAATTAACGAAACAATTATAAGTTGTCATTAACTAAAACTTGATGTTAATAAACTATTGTAATTACTTCGGCCAATGCAAAAACTTACTTTAAACTCGGCATCAATTCTATCAAATCTCGCAGAATCATCAGGCAGCTGTTTCCTTATGTCCTCAGAACTCATAAAAATACTCTCCAAATGAGTCCATGTTCTTTGAACTTCGAACCACACCGAGATCACTTGGTCAGCTATGGACAACTTTTGTTGCCAGCTCGATACTTCTTCCAAAAAATGCGCGATAAATTTTGATGTTATCAGATTTTGTAGTTGAACCTAGAAATTTAGACAACATCCATCTATTGATCAAATAATTAAAAGCGACTGTTGTATATCTATTACTAGTCATATCACACATTGGAATTTCTTAAAATCAGTCATTTTTTTCATTTAAGATATTTGTGATAAGACTGTTTTTATTTTTCTTCAATTTACCTGATTCTCCTCTAAAGTCTCAATCAATTCTTCGCTTGCCCTTAACAGTACACACCCTGTTCTGGTATGAACTTCTTGTTCAAACTCCATCGCTTTCCAAGTACTATTTAGATCTTTCAGTGTTTTCTCCATAGACATTTCTTTGACTGCTTTATCTACTATATTTTTTACTTCCTCCTCGCACTCGTGTAGATTCAAAGCTAACAGATCAGCTAACGTTGTGTTCATATCCATTATTATACGGACCTAAATATTATTTTTCATTAGGATATAAAATATTAAGAGGTATAAATTTTCGTTTCACATTTTGTACACATATCAGACTACGAGTTAAAACTATTAATTTTGTATATTTATCATTGGATGTGGTATTTTAATTTTCAACATTATGCAAAGAGAACAGAAAATCAATCGTGAATTTGCAATCGAAACACACATGCGCAAAAGCCAATACCTAACACCATACAAATATATTTTTAAATAAATACAATTGATTTTATACCAATAACGTGATCTTCTATTTAATTACTTGAATACTTTATTTATATTATATACATTTCGCTTTTATCATAATACATTATACTTACGGTGAGCTCACGTGGCAATGCTGCTAAGCTCTGTGGATCAAACATATTTACATTCGCATAACACACATTCAACAACAAAAAAACATTCGTTTTCATTCATTTAACAGCAAGACAACATCGATTGTATAATACAATTCTCAGGCTGTATAATAATTGTAAATAAATACATAGTGTATAAACACTCAAGCATGTAAAATGCACATATAATAGACCAAATAAAACATGCAAATTATTTAAATAAAAATTCAAACCCATTCCCGGATCCATTCAAATTTGAAAGTGCAATTTAAGGATTATATTTACAAATTTTGTTTATTTATTTACATTTCAATTTATAAAGCTAATTTTATGAAACACTTCTAATTTCACCTTCGTTGTACTCATCAACTGATCCCAATGCCTTTCTCTGATCGCTGGATTTTGTAGTTCACCTACTGCCCTCAGAGATGTCAACATGTTCTTTACTGTGGCTTCCAAATTCACGTATGTGTCCCAACTACGAAAGACGTTAATGTGTAATTAAAACAATTGAGTGAAGTAAAAATAAAAAAGATGTGTGGTGTCGTGGGACACCGAATAGGAGCGAAGTTCCTTATTATAAAAATATTAATTTTAAGTTCTATTCGAGATATAAAGAAAATAAAATTGGAGGTTTCGCAACAACCCACGGTCATTTGGTAACCTGCGAACTTATTGTGGTACACTTCATTCACGGTTGTTTACATAAGAGTTAGTGTATTGCGCAAACGAACGCTCTGAGATCGTGGTCAATGAATGATAAAAAAATATGTTATTTTTTGTACGTTATTACAAAGTTAAGTCGTACACTGTGTGCATTACTGATTTGTACGCTATTACAAAGTTAAGTCTTACACTGTGTGCATTACTAATAAAAATCTTACGTTACGGACGTTTTTTCCCGGTTAGGGTACCCCTCCGCATCGTCCCATAAGGAACTTCGTTCCAAAAATAAATTCGCTGTCCAAAACTTACCTTCTCATTTCTTTGTCAAGCAAACGTATTTCCTTTGCAAATTTCTTGCATTCAATATCCATATTCTCAACGTCTATCTTCCTCCAGGGCGTTGTTTTCCAATCTTCGATACTCGTTCTCACAATATACACATAATCCCAGAGTTGCTGTTTAGACAAATTTCTATTAGCTTCAAAATTCTAGTTAAAAAGCTCCTATTCATTAATATATACATCTATATCACCTTAAGCATCCTCAATTCCTTTCTGCATTGCTTCAACAACTTAAATTCGGGAACGTTCACTTCGAACAGAGACCCAGATTCCTGGATGCTTCTCATTTCTTCTTCCAAATTTAAAATCTCGTAATCCACTCTCGCCATTACTTCGTAAGGATTTTCGCATTCATATTTGAAAAACTAAAAAAATGTTTCTAGTATTTTTTTTAAATTTATAATCGTAAATTGTGGACACGAAAATCTTAACTATACGTAATCCAACAAACAATAATTTTAATTCATTGCCTTACACATAGATAACCTAGTAGTCTTCAATAGCAAGGATCTTATAGACGCTTGTTGTGATTGGAAGACTCCAGAGACGCCACTAAAATTCAGATGGCTTACTTTGTTCTTACCTCGTATCGTTTAAATACTTCACGATAGTAAGTGATGTGCGAGTCGAATGTTGCTATCTTCTTTCTTATACCAGATACTTCAGCGGCTTGTAGAGGAGCAACTTGTTGCTTCACTGTTAAAGCCAACTTTTTCGTTGCCTGCCATTGCTCTGGTAATTCCTTTGGATATGCCGAAGAAAATAGTACAACAAACATAATACACACAGATAGTACAGTTCGTATATCCTCAGAGAACAAAGTTCGTCTCCAAAGATAGATTTACGAGATATTTTTCAAAGTACCTGTAATAGTACATTGACTTCCTCAGGTATGTCCATGTCATAGAACTTGAGGAGTTCGATAGTTTCCGTTAGCGGTTGAAACATATCATCAGTTGTAACGGCACGGTCTTTGACATTCATTAGATATCCCATCACGTTTACAAGAGCTTCGTAATCACCTTCGGACACCGGTTGCAGCAATCCTTTGGAGGAAGACACAAAATGGAAATTTAATGTGGCATTCCTACTTATCTAGACGATGCAGATAGAAGATTAAAAAATGATTACCTATTCTTTTTACTTATTCTGAAACTTAAAATATAAACACTCATATGAGTACATTTTGATGTTGTCGATGATTATAACGATTATCTTTCATCACTAGTGACAGGCAAGAAAATTTCAAATCATACTATTTTACAACAAAATTACCGAGAATATTTTCAATGAACGTGCGTACCTTCATCAGCCTGTCTGATGAAATTCCCGAGATCGCTTAGACTGGAAATCACATTATTAACAAGATGCTCCTTATACATGTTACCCCATTTCCTAACCGTATTCAGTAGAGCTTGACGAAAAGGTCTAATGTCCACCTAAAACAGATTTTTTCAATAAATTAAATTATTAACCCAAGCCACCTAGCAATCAAAATTCATGCGAGCCAGTTTCCCTACCTGAAACCAACTATTAAACACTTTGTAAGACTCCATTTCTTCAATGTCCATAAACAAATTCTCGTAATGATCAATTTGTTCTCTGAAAGCTTCCATTTTGGGCACACATGGAGTAGGTCCAACTACGTCTTTGTCTTCAGATCCAATCTTATCAACTTCATCAACAGAGAGTATTCTACCGTACGTTAGAAATATTTCCATGATCGCATCTCGTTCTTCTAACCAAAGATACGAATAATTCTCGAAGGTTTTGCAAAAGTCGTTTGCGTCTTCAATTACCTGAGAAGGTAAAAATTATACCACCGTAAATTATGAATTAATATTTGTTTATTTCCTAATATGTAGAACCTATTGGAATTAATCGTTGGACACCACTTTACCTGCTGCATATATCATGATAATATGTAGATCAATTCTATGATAACAGGCCTTTTGTCGTTATTGTGAGTGAATTAATGAATGAACGAATGAAAACCCTGTAATAATTGGTTTAAAATTTTATTTTCAGCGATTACCTTTTCAATCCCATTCAAAATCTCCTCTTTCATATCATTAATATCGTCATTGTTCAGAATTTGCTGTTCGTACGATTCCTTCCGCTTGGGATCTATTCTTTCAATCAACGCTGACATATTTATGATATCGTCGATTATGCTTTTAATTAAGGCCATGAATCCTTTCTCATCATTTGGATCTAAGCTGGGCGCGAAAACCATATCTGGATCTAATAGTTCAAGTTGTGCTTCGAACAGTGGAGCTAATTTATTATTAGGATTCATATGCTCTGTGATATATCCCAAACTGAAAATTATAAAGGGTTTACTTGAAACATTTGACGAAGCCGAAAAGAGGACAATGTACTCATTAACTGTAACTAAAATGAAAACAATATTCATTTGCATAATTCACAATAATATATTTCTGGGCCAGCAACCTGCCTCAAAATCAATACCGAGCACATAACCCATCTGGCGCTAACTAGTCATAAACATCTATAGTGACCCAGAGACCTAACACACCAGCACAAGAATACCTCGTATAAAGAAGAACGTGGTATAAGGATTATGGAACACCTTGAAGTTCGTTCCAGAGCTGCATGGTTCATGGCAACAGGGGTGTCACCGGAATCGCATTCAAACGCTTTTTTTATTGCTTAGATGGTTGGGCGACCTCACAGCCCACCTGGTGTTAAGTGGTTACTGGAGCCCATAGACATCCACGACGTAAATGCGCCACCCACCTTGAGATATAAGTTCTAAGGTCACAGTATAGTTACAACGGCTGCCCCACCCTTCAAACCGAAACACATTAGTGCTTAACGGCAGAAATAGGCGGGGTGATGGTACCTACCCGCGCGGACTCGCAATAGATCCTACCACCAGTAAATTACGCAAATTAAAATTTGCGGGTGTTATTTTTTATTTTTATTACACGATGTTATTCCTTTACCGTGGAAGTCAATCGAGAAAAATTTTTGAGTACGTATTTCATTATAAAAATTGGTACCCGCCTGAGATTCCAATACTGGTGCATCGCTCAACACGAATGCACCGAATTTCGATCTTCGATTATTGAATTAACTGTTTCGATTAGTGACATCCCTACTTAGTTTTTTTTTTTTAAATCCAATTTGTTGGCTTAAATATTAACGTACTAGACGCACTACAAACCTGCAAGCGACACATTTAAACAATGCTTCTTCCATGAGAGCGTCCACAAAGGCGACGTAGTTCAACCACATTTCGCTTTCCTGACAACTTCGCATGCTGAACAGCTCCATGTTCTCATTTAGCAGCTCGTTCATACGCCGCGCCGTATTCTGTATGTCGCTGTATCGTTTCTTTCTCTTCTCGAAACGATCTTCCAAATTCAACAACGTATCCTTAAGAACATTACCATTTTATTATTTATACTTTATAAATGCACAAAACAAAAGCTGTACACAGGCGGACTTAATGCCATGGGCATTCCCTTCCAGTCGACCATAGGGTGGTGCAGAGATAATGCATGGTAGGTGCATTAACAAAAGGATAACAAACAACAACAAAAAACAAAAAAAGGAAAAAATAAAAACAAAAATCTTCCTTAAAGTAACATCTCAGTATTATAGAAAACACATAATGTTAAATATAGGTACTTATATAGATTACATATGACTTTGTATGCATAAATAAACATACTACAATTTAATATAACTGTGTATAAAATAATAAAATACATACATACACATAATTACACACAATATAATATACATGTAAAGTAATAATATAGAAATACACATGAAAATACACAATTTAGTATTATAGTTAAGAATGGCTAAGAGTAAAAAATAATAATAATAATAATTGAAAAATAAAATAAATTAGTTTGGAGGTGATTCAAAATTTCATTCAAAATGTTAACATTAATTTAAAAAAAAACATAGCGGTCATTTTTTTTTACAAGTTTTTGTCACTTCTATGTCTTCTAATAAGCCGCAAATCCAGCAGAAAACACTGAACAAAAACAAATATTTTGAACGTAGCACATAATTTTCAAACAAACCTTTTTCCCTTCTTTGCGTTCAAACAGCGGTTGCGTCGACCACTCGGTCATAATTGACTTCATCTCTTTCAAATTATCTTGTATCTTCGACATTCTCTGAAAGAGGCTTCCTACCAACGTATGCAGATCTTGTAAATAGTTCCACAAATCTGAAATAAAAATTATGACCGATATTTTTGTTTGGTATCAGGAGCATCCGATAATAGAATATCAGTCAATATCTTATCTTTCCTTCTTACCTTTATCCTTTTTACCTAAATATCTTACCTTTTGAGTTCCAATTGAGCTGGTTTTGAGCCATTTCGATCCTTTGATCGATCGCCTTAATTTCATCTTCGACCAAATCAAATTCAACTTTCTGACTATTCTTTCGTATCTGATTATACCAGTCTATTGTTATGCCGAGGTTAATGCGATATTTTCGGTACGTTTCCCTTTTGTCAAATAACTCTAAGCTTTCTTTTGGTAGCATGTCAGAGAAGTCCGGGTTGCTTCGAAGATGATCGACTTCTTTTAGTATGTCTAAGAGCTGTAAACGTAAATGTTTTTTGTTTATTTTATGACAAGTGCAAAGTTTTTCTATTGAGGTCTTGGTCCATTTGATCTTTAAGCGACCAATGAAGTTTCTATTGCCTAGATATAGCGGTTATCTTTAACCAGCATAAAAGATGGCATCCGCATAATCCTACTAGAACACTAAACTATTTAGCTTAATTTTTTGGGTGTAAACCTACCGATGGGTTAAAGTTTAATATCAGGTCCGATCCTTGTCGCGCCAAAATCATTTTGTTGGTCTTCTCTTCGATCACTTTCGGTATTTTCTTAGCCCAATCGTTAAAATATTTCTTTTTGAAATCGTTTATCCTTTGGATAAGTTCTTCGTGTCTTATGAAAATTTTCTTCGCTTCGTCCGCACCCTTGATCCTATACAAAAAAAGAGGCAACTTTCCTAAATCTTTTAATGTGTACAAATAAAAAATGTGAGATATTACAAAAATCTATTTTTCTATACGGGGTGGTGTAAATTGCGAAAGCATTTAACTACTTTTTTAAAAATCCCAATAAACAGAATCAATAATAAATTCTCACAGTACATTTTTATTTGTCTAAAATTATGGAAGAATTAAAGCCAGATAATCAGCTTTCGCAATTTGCCCCACCCAGATGACATACGGGTGCGGCAAATTGCGAAAGCTAGCTATAGGCTTCGTTATCCTTGTAGCTAGCGTATTCATAAAGAGAAGTCCTCCTGCTATGGGCGGGAAGAACGCATCAATTTCCATCACACCATATTTCTCGAATCGATGTGTTTGCTCGTCAAATAGATCCTGCAAAAACCCAAATTATGCACAATGACTTTTTCGTAAAACACTGCAACTCAACTGTTGTATGTTATTCGAAAATAAGGATGGAAGCAACAATTATTTTCTTTAATGTAAATTCACATATGTAATTTACGAGCACTCACTTCACATGTCAATATTTCTTTCTCCAACATAACAATTATTTCAACGTATTTGGCCGTAAACTCACTTCTTATGAGTGGACGTTCTAATACAGACCCAACTATGTCAATTAACTGAAATAAAATGAATAAAACGGAACTGAATAAAATTTCTTGTATTAAGTAAGTCATCGAATTTCAACAATAAGAGCGTTACCTTGAAAATAGCCTCAAGCGTAGAGCAATTATCAAATGATTCCACCAAAACAGTTGAAAGTTTCAGATCTAAATCGATAATATTTTCTTGAAACTCTTTAAAATCTTCATTAAACGTCTCATCGTCTGGATCGAGTACGTCATAAGATTTGGACGCAAAACCATGAAAATAAGCTTCGAATTCCGCTGAAATTTCCCTGATCTGTCCACCCAATACTCGGCCTTTCATACCGCCGATTTCAATTTTCTCTAACTTTTGAAACTCTAATACAGTTTTGAAAAACCATTGTATGGTGTTGAGCCTCTCGAGAAACTTGTTCAATCTCTCGAAAACAAAATTAGGGTGGAAGGTCCAGGGGATCACCCGACGCTCTACGAAATACTTTTGGATATTGTCTTTAAAATATTCAAAAGTCCCTTTGAATTTCTTTAAGATGTTTATTGTTAATTGGATGCGCTGCGTGGCTTCGTCTATATCGCTATGAAATAGGGTTGTCGGATCTAGACATTTCTTAGCCTGGAAATATCAAATTTTATAACAGACTAATATTTAACTAAGTCAATAACCATCAGATAAGATATTAATAATTATTACTGTTTCAGATGGTCGCTTGGACTTTGTCACAGACTATGATAATAGCTGATCTCAATTACCTGGTAAATCAGTAGATTGCATATCTGCTTCAATAAAACCATGAGTTTCGAGGAGCTGCAGTAATATTTCGAATCTCTCCACACCATGCAGATAACATGGAACAGCGGACGAAACAAAGGTTGACTCTCCATAAAGTCTGTATCTTCCAATGCTTGGAAATGCTTTTCCAATGTTCTGAGGTACAAATCAATTTCCCTTGCTTCCGCTAAAGCTGTTAACAACAAATTTTATTACAAATGACAAATTGTGTTGTCCTTATGAATGAATATTTAGCAATTCGTGTTTCTTTTTTTGCAACGAGCTTAAAAGGGTGCTCGTCGATTGAGTAACAAAGTTAAAATAATTCAAACCTGACACGATATTCTTGAACAATCTACTGAAGCAAGGGTAATAGGCTGAAGTGGTCTTCTCAAGTATCACCGCCATACATCTCACCCTCTCGGTACGTAGCTGATCATAAATGTAGTTCAGATTGTTTAATCGTGATCTCCAGAACGCAAGCTCTGTGTAAAAGGAGAGACATATCTTATTAAAATTAAAAAGTCACTAGTCTCATCTTTGATAATATTTTTTCATTAATTTTAATATGATCACGCTGGGAGATCCCTGAATGAAGCTAGTTAAAATAAAGAAGAAATACAAACCCTCAACAATGCCATGAATTCATAAATATACAAATACTTGTCCTAATTCACAGATTGAGTCATCAGCACATCAATACAAACCTAACACCGCTGAGGCGATAACCTAACAAATTTGGTAGGTGAGACTTTTTACTTTGTAAGTATCCGGAACATTTCGTAAGCACTGACGACTTTTAAATTTTTTTAACTAAATAACAAACGTCCTTCTGTTTGGGTGAAGCGATTTCTTTATATTGTGTTTAGTAATGACTTTATATTGTTTTAAATTTTACTAGAAGAAATATATTCAAGGGAAATACAAATACACAAAACCATTTATTTCCCAAACATTTCTTCAAAAACATAGATAGTCCCATTCTTACGATAATCACTGACCTACAGAAGGCAACGGATTCTGTCCATTCTCGAAGGCAGACCCCGAATCTTCCATCATTACGTCATTGATTTGTTGTGCCCACTTGATAACTACACCTTCAATTGCACTCTTCAAGTAAAGATCCACTTCTTTGCCTTTCAGAATTTCCTTTTCCGCTTCATGAACTAATTCCACTCCAACGGGCATAGGTAAGACCGTTTGACCATTTACTTTACCTTTAACCTAACAGAATAAGATTTTAAGTGTCATGGGAACAAGATTTATTTTTATGAAAATATCTTGCAAAATGTCTTGCACGGCAATTGATCAGGAAAGATCGGCATATGATCCTGGTCTTATTGCAGCTTCAGTATTGTTCTCGTTAATTAGATATAGTATTTTACTGTAGACTAGTTGTAGACTTTACTGGCGTTCGTGGGCACAGGTAACTACTACACCATCCTTTATACATTTAATGTATTTCGATTGTAAAGAAACTCACACTTATTATGGCACGTGATTTTATACGTAGGTATACCTTTAACATTCTCATACCTAATCTTCGACTTCTGTCACCAATATCAATGAATATAATCTCACCTCATACACGGTACTTTTTAAATTGTGTATTTGCTTGAGGATATCTTGAGAGACGACTAGCGGCCATCCTTCGTGATTCAGCGGATTAGAGAGTAAAGGTACGAATACTTCATCTACTAATGCTGCCAGTTCATCTATGAGCCTCGGAGCTAAGTCGCCTATAGGTTAAAAATATCATAAATCTCCAATTTCACCAACGAGTTCCGTGATTGAGGATATAAAAACCTAGCCTAAACAATTTGTAAATCTGCTTAAAGGTAATCGTAAAAGATATTGTGAACCCACTCAACTGGGTACCACCCAGTCTATTTCTACCGCGTCACAGATATCCGTTTGAATTCTAGTGTTAACACAAATTCAATTGGAAATTCGACGTTATATTTTGAGGTTCGTGTCTACGCGTCTCCAGTAACCAACTATCACCAGTAGGATCGGAGACCGTCTGGCTATATAGAGAAATAAAAAAAGCATTCAATGAACAAACAGCTATCACCGTTATTTCTTGTAAGGCACTGATAAATCGAGACACAACACTAACTCGTGCTTCACTCAATATTTTTTCTCTAATTGGAAATTATTGTAGAATAATGAATTATAAAAAGATATGCCACCGTGTTTTAAACCACATCAGTAAAATAAATTAAAAAATAAATAATGAAAGACGGTGTTTTATGTAACTCACCAAAAACTACCATTTCAGCGCAATTCTCTTTAGGAATGGCATCTGCCTTCTTTTTGACGAAATAGACGGCTTTGTTTTTCAGGTAGCATGGAAACGAAATGACGGGTACCAGCTGTGCTGCGTGAGTTAAAACCACAACCAGGAGAAGAGGAAATGGCTTGTCCACGAAGTCTCTTAAAGTGGACCTGTGCTCTTCGATAGTGAGCACACGCATCCATTTCTCTGGTTTCAATTTCAAAGACTTGACCACATAAGAACCGATGAAATCGTAACGTGGGTCTTGATTAGAAGACGAAGGACCAGCTTGGTCCATGTTGGAATGTTGTCTTTAAGACATTTTCAGGAGACTTGTGGTGCTCTCGACGACTGAACTCTTTTTGATGTTCAGGCAAGTCGAAGGCTGGTTATTGGCAAGTCACGCGACTCCAAACGGCATGCCATTATGGAACGATGTCTCCTTTGTAACGAGCAATCGGCATCGCTATACGAAAATAGATTATAACGACACTACGGTTCGCAGAAAAAATCTTTACCGTTTACTTTCACAAGTTTTAATCCTTGTTAATCATCTTAACTACTCAATTATAAAAAAAATTAATAAGTCAAAATTTTTTACTGGTGGTAGGACCTCTTGTGAGTCCGCGCGGGTAGGTACCACCGCCCTGCTTATTTCTGCCGTGAAGCAGTAATGCGTTTCGGTTTGAAGCCGGGTGGGGCAGCCGTTGTGACTATACTGAGAACTTAGAACTATATCTCAAGGTGTGTGGCGCATTTACGTTGTAGATGTCTATGGGCTCCAGTAACCACTTAACACCAGGTGGGCTGTGAGCTCGTCCATACATCTAAGCAATAAAAAATTAAAAAAAAAAAAAAAAAAATCTTCATTATCGTTACCTCACTGCTGAGGATCGCGGCCACGTGTGATTTACTTCCAGTGTTACTTCCAGTGCCAGACATGTGTGGCATGGATCGTACAGGCTACTACCAACCGCCTTCTTTATTAAATTTGACCATCCAGCTGGTGTTCTGCCCATGGACGTTCTTGGCAGATGGCAGAAAAAACTTTTCTACTTAGACGTTTAGCTATATAAAATAGACTCATTAGTTCTCATGAATGTTCAAGGTATTCGGAGCATTAAATCGATGTATTACGTTTTATATTAATTTGATTTTTGCAAACTATGTTTGTATGAAGTATCTATACATTAACTTTAAGAACTTCAATACAATGTTTATATACTTCTTTTGTAGCTTAAAACTGGGCGTATGTACGTATTATTCTTGACAGTAGAATAAATTGACACCCTTCAGGGTTTTGTGGTCGTCGTGACCTAAAGGATAAAACGTCCAATGCATTCGTATCTTGCGATGTACCGGAGTTCGAATCCCGCAAGCAGATACCAAGTTTCCTAAGGAAATACGTACTTACCAATGTTCACGATTGACTTCCATGTTAACGGAATAACATAGTGTAGTAAAAATCAAACCCGCAAAATTATAATTTACCTAATCACTAGTGGTAGGACCTCTTGTGAGTCCACATGGGTAGGTACCACCATCCCGCCTATTTCTGCCGAGAAGCAGTAATGCGTTTCGGTTTGAAGGGTGGGGCAACTTTGTACTGTTAAAACTGAGCCCTTAGAACTTATATCTCAAAGTAAGTGGCGGCATTTACGTTGTAAATTTCTATGGGTTCCGGTTATCACTTAACATCAGATTGGCCGTAAACTCGTCCACCCACCTAAGCAATAAATAAATAAAAAACTAATGATAAACCTACAAAATTGAGAATGACCTTTTGAATGGCCATTAGTAAATTTTACCACGAAGAAGGAGCTTGACTGTTGACTCTGTTATACTCTGTTATAACACCGCTTATTAAATAACATGCACAGCTTTTGACTTGAGTAAAACAACATTTTTCAGTAAATAATTTTTCTTCAGACCGTACTGGAACATAAGTGAGCAAAGCGCGTACCAGGCGGCCGCAGCACCGCCCCGCCGCGCCGCCCGACGGCGAGATGACACTCGCGCGACGTCGCCCAAGAATAAGGTCAGCTGTCGTTACCTTTCAGGCTGTTGAACAATGCCCCAAAACGTAAGTTTTAGCGGATTTTCTTCAACACCTTTTTTTTACCTATGCTGATAGCCTTGAGAGGCTATATCTGGATTACCCTAGAGCAGCCTTTCCCAAAGTGGGGATAACGCCCCCTTGTGGGCACTGCAGGCCTAAACGGAGGCGGTAAGAGACCCAAAAAAAATGGGGGCGTTATGTAGAGTATTGGTAGGCAATTTGTAATTTCATCTAAATGGACTCTTAGACACCGACTGAGCTCTCGTTATAATAGTTTTTAAGTAGGTGGAAAAATGGGGACGCTAGAAAATAATCTATTTTCGAAGTGGGCAGGAGACAAAATAAGTTTGGGAACCTCTGCCCTAGAGTGTAGGTGAGCTCTCGGGGCTCAAGCCGGAGGTGTTGTTGCACTGGCCCTAGCAAGAACAGTGCTTCGCAGAATCTACCACCACTCAGTGGGATGTGTTAAAACACACTGTGGGTTAAAACATCACCAATTTACCCTAACCTATACTGATATATCCATAACCGAACTTGACCAAACCATATTGACCGTTGTAACGTTTAATCTTTACTGGACAGTGCTCCAAACTGATAGTTAGATCTACGTATACGAACTACATTTTCTACGATGTACAAACAATAATAACATACTAACCTACGTTATAACACAATAAAAAAATTGATATTTTATTTTCCACTACAACCTAACTAACAAAACGTCAACTGAAATTTTACACGTGTTAATTCTTTTAACTTTCAAACCCTTAACATTTGATTACGTAAAGACAAAAGTTCGTGATCGTATCATTTTATGAAACAAATTTACGTTTGCTCAAACCTTACCGTATAAATCGCGGCATGCAAATTTCGTACTTAGACATCACGCGAGTTATAAATCTAAATAAAAAACTAACGGCTCTCGCTTCCTTTATTCGACTTAATATACCTAATATCTTCAATAATTATTAATATTAGCCTTCGATAAGTATTTAAATTTCGTAATTAAGAATATAACACAGTGTATACCTAAGTTTTGAAGTGTTAATGTGAGACACGTTTGTATCGGATCCTTTTTATGCTTTTAACTGATACATATTATGATTTTATTTAATTGCCATAGGCGAGCTACCAGCGAATAGATCTGTTGGGAAAAAAAACATATAATACTTTTTATCATGGTAAATGGAATGATCCGGCACCATATCTGGTATATTAAATACAATAGTGTGGGAGTATACGACGGAGGGAAGATCTTCCACCGAACGCGTGATATTGCTCGGTAGACCGATGGTCCGAATGTTTTTGTTCGGAACGTGCAAGCTTATCTTGAAAATGTCGTAAGCGAAATTCAGGCATCTGTCAATATATTGTGTTCTCTGACGGCTACCGCCATAATAGTTTATTCCCGAGTGCGTAAAAATTAAAAATACAACGAAAACTGTAAAGCATTCGAAACGACAGAAATAATTTACTGACAATTTAAAAAAAAAACGCGAGATCTATATCTATATCTATACTAATATTATAAAGAGGAAAGATTTGTTTGTTTGTTTGTTTCGAATAGGCTCCGAAACTACTGGACCGATTTGAAAAATTCTTTTTCCATTAGAAGCCGACATTGTCCCTGATGAACATAGGCTACTTTTTAAAAAAAATTTTAATTTTTTTTTTTTGGTTTCATGTGTGTTTTAATGTTTCCGAAGCGAAGCGAGGGCGGGTCGCTAGTTTAATAATAAATGTGGTTTTAATTATTTCTACCATTCGCGAAAAACGAACATAATACTAAATATTAAAATTTAATGTTTACGTTATATCTATATTTAACTGTATATTTGTATTATATGCTACGGGAGAGAGAGTTCTTCTGACAAAAAGGTCTCAAAAACTATTACGAGTAATATATAATGTACGTAAGGTAATGTAACCAATGTTAAATCATTCTTTGTTTTAATAAAAGCTTCGAGCAGCAAGACTCGTTTGACTAGATCACTAAAGATCTGATTTATTGCCACCAGGATCAGCATATCTGGACATGAATTGGTATGAGGGTCGAATTATAAATAACATGATGAAGGAAATGTAGATTCCTTCACGTATTCTCGGATTTATAGCGATATATGAAAGCTTGTAATAAAATCAGTTTTTAATAGCAAAGGCACGTCAGTGTGCGGAAAAGTTAACTCAAAAATTGTATGTAGTTGGAAAAGCGCCCCTAGCGGCAAACGAAGGAAGCGGAGAAGTTAAAAAGCTCCCACTAAGCACATAGATCCACGTCAGGTGAGATCGTTAGGTCTTATTAGAATATCGACAATTTGGATTTTAGTTAAATTACTTCCGATTTACAAGAAAGTTTGTTTATTAAACCATAAATAAGACCAAAATTTACCACCAGATGTCCAATCCACTTACAAAAACATCTCGTAGAATAACATTTTTGATTGTTAAATGTCGTTTATCTGGATTTATTCAATTTCATTACTTTTAATCAAATAAAAATCTATCCCAATAAACTACAATACTATTCTAGTAAAACTAAGTAAAGGAAGGACAATCTATAAATGAAACTAAAACATACTTTTATAATACATTTATTGATAATGACAGCGATGGTTGACTTGAAATATTGCTACTTGGCAAAAAATATTTCCACTAAAGGAAGTGAACTATGTATTTTTTTTAATAAATCTCTTTATTATGCATTAATGTGTACAATGAATATAATGCAACCATCTATCTATGCATCCAAGTAGCTACCTACATACGCGTTATCACAAACAAAATATATTGGAATCGATTTGTGATCGACTATAATTTACATTCTGGCAAACTTATTGACTACACAAGTAACATGACGCAATTTTATTGAAACATAAACGTCGTCACAAGCTCCGTATAATGAATCGACTGCAATAAATACGACAATTAAATAAATCAAAACGTTTCATTAAAAATTAATATTAATTAAAAAAAAAAAAAAAAAACAAATAATTTCATTTACCTAAAAACTATTTGTTTAAAACAAAAGCACAGCACATGGTCAGCTTAATTTCTATTAAATTAAATATCGACCTACGGGAAGGCTGCTTTTAAAGTCACTATTCAGCCTAAATCTAGGAGCCCTAGTGCGTACTCCGCCGACCTGATCACCTGCCCTTCGTAGTATCGAATGCGATAGCACTAAACTCTACTTGTGCTGTAGACATCACCAAAGTACTTTAAAACCACGAATAATTGGATATGTCCATTCGATTGAGTTTATCGCATTCAA